AAGCACAAAATCCCACGGGAGGTGGTGGGTTTTCAACTTTACGTTTTTGGCCCCCCCATATCAAAATGTTTGGACCATACTTATTTAGTTGCTTTTGCTTTCAAATTAGGTAAAATAGAAAAAAAAAAAACATATTATCTGGCACGGACCAAGAGTTCCAATGTGTTTAAGTCTTATCCATAGAACCAAAATGACATTAAATGCTTATATAAAAGTCAGTTGTAACAGTCTTTGACGTATACATAACTTCTCAAATACATCTTCTCTGTGCCTGTTTCCGGGTTATCCTGAAACCTGGCAACCCGATGGTCAGCCAGTAAAATGAACGGGGACTTGGCATGGGCTACATTTCTCCTCTGAGCGGCGTTTCTACACAAAGATTGCGTTAGAGAAGAACCTTCCTTTGGGCGGTTGTGACCTGCAGCTACTCCACGAAGTCAGGTCTCCAGTAGGGAGAAGTACCATCTGTGTAAGTCGCAGTACTTGTCACACTCTGTTTACTGAGTTTATCAACTGTTCTAGTTAGCGTCAAGTTGGCTAGCATTGGTGGTAGCGCCTTAGCTTCCCAGCTAGCGCGTGCACTGACGTTCGTCCACGCAGAAGCTAGCGTCACGGGGTTTTTTTGTTTTGAATACCACATTGCTAACGATACTCGTTGTGTTTTCTCATGAATAGCAGTGGTGGCAACAATCGGAGTGATCTGCAGCTAAACTAGACTAAGGTCAGTAAGTGGCGAATGTCTTTATTGACCAGAAATGTAACCACAACAGGGCGAATATCGAGGGTTTTTCATTATGACAACATAACACGCTGACAGTTTGAGCTAGCGAAAATGGTAAACACCACACGACACGAGAGGGTACAAGGCCCACATCAAGAGTTCTGGGAGAAGTTGAAGCTCAGCAGACAAATTGGCATTTAATGTCTGTAATGAAAGCGAGCTGTTTAGATAGTTGCTGTTAGATGTGGCTGGTTGGCGCTGTTTTGGGGGAGTGTCGTTAACTATTGTCAGACGGATTAATTAGTAATACATCTGGACAGTTACTCTTCAAGTGTGTTTCTTTGTTCATGCAATGATCAAGTCTGTCTCTCCTCGACGTGTTGTTTCTGCAGAGTGACTGTTTTGTCTTGTGATCGTGTGTGATCTCCGTCCCCACATGACACGTTTGACACTTAACGTGCTCCAGAGCAGCAGCACTGTTTAGACAATTCATACTTTTGTCCTCAATTGTAAGCACATTACTTTTGCGTGTTCATACTTCGTTGGTGTAAACAGGTGACCTAATCTGTTACAGTTATATTCATAGTTAAAGTGTGTAATGGAAATTAAACACTCAGAGATTTTGTTGCTGATTTCCTAAAAGTTTGATAAGCTCTGACCTCCAGAGACAATAAAATCCTACAGGGTATTGCACATCCACAAATACAGCTTAACAGGAGGCTCAGTGAGAGCTAGTGGTGGATGGATGCCACTTGAGTCCCAGTGAGGGCAAATTAACAGAATAGGCATGATTTTCCAAACCAGCCGTCACCTGGGCCATGCCCCATAAGTCTTGTTCCAATACTCCAGTAAGAGGGCTGATTAAAAACATACCAAAGTTGTGTTGGTTGCAAAAAAAAAAAAAAATGCAGTTTGGAACGATGCAAAAAGTCAATAAAACAACACATTATGATCAATTTAAATGATTATCAACTGTTACTGATATAAACATATTCAATCCCCTTAATAGGTCGTTTCTGAGATCCTATCACTGAAAAATGTGACGTACCCAGTCCTTAAACTGTCTTTTACGTCTTATTTTAGCGACGTTAATATTGCAAACTCTGAATAGCAGGCTGTGTGTACAAGTCAGTACATCGTTATCTTAAATGTGATATTTCCTAAACATTTCTCAGTCCAGCATGTGTCATGAAACACAAAAATTGACTCTTCCGACAGAAAAAGCCGAACAACTTTACTCTTGCACCTTCAGCTTCCTGTTACCTGTTGATATCTAAATCTCCATTGTGGCAGCTGAAATAAACAGGCGATATGCCTCCGTTGAAAATCCAGTTCCCAACTGATACTCCCTTTTGTGCCATGTGTGCATATTAGCTTTTGAAATTCAAGCAGTTAGTCTCACTGAAGATTTTGTTAATCAGATCATTGAGTCACAGGCTGGAGTGTTTTTCTGTCTGTAAAGAAGGTAACTGGTGAAGCAGATGCACTCATTTCTTTGCCTTGTCTCCTTTCCCTCTGTTGCCTAAATACAAAACACAAGATTGTAACCAGATAACTGAGTGACTCGCAGCATGACTTGTGTGAGGTCATCAGTAGTCACATGACAAACAACTGAGTGTTATTTTTATTGTTGATGGAGATTTTTTTATCTTTTTCTGTGTGTGTGTTTACACTTATCTCAAATGTTTTCCCTAAACTCCACTTAGCTCCCATCCCAACCAAAGACAGAAATATGCTGGACAGAGTTTACATGAACATTCCTGGCATCCGTAATTTCCACGCGAGTTCTCTATTTGCTCTATCAGAACAAATTTCCGAGCCTTTCCAGCCAGCATTCTGCCTGCTGATAACAAGGCACCAAAGCAATGAGAAGTGTAGACAAATGAAACTGCAGTTCAAGTTCTGTGACCCCGGGGAGCCACACTTATCCTGTTTGTATTTGCTTGGTGGTGGGGGAGGGAAAGAAATTGGTGATTTGCCGTTTCTCATGTCAATGCATCTGAAATCGAATTTCACATTGGTGGACTCTGTTTTCCTTTATTTACGTCGGTAACTTCAGAGGACAGTTGATTGCAATTTCTTTTTAAATTTTGGGTTATTGATGCAAATGGGACTGAATATACAAAATTAAAAAAAAATACTTAAAGAACATATGTTATTGTCCTTCTAAATGACATTTACGCACTAGTTTGTGTTGATTTGTCACATAAAATCTACTAAAGTATGTGGTTATAATCTGGCTGTAATCTGACAGTAAAAAGATTCAAAACGTTGTGACAAGGAATCACACAGTATAACACTAGTTTCTGGCGATGGTATTTTCTGTATGTGGAGAAGCATGTATAGCACATGCGTCTTGTACCCATGATGCAATTCTCTGCATATTTGTGCATCAGGTAGATGCCGTGTACATATCAGCCTCTCGGTGCCCAAACTGTCATGACCATATGGTGCTCTGGTGGAAGCAGAATGCTGACTTGCCGCATGTCATTCCCCATGTGGAGCTATGGGGCTTTATTATGAGTTCTGGCCTCTGTGGGAGGGGCAGCGTTGGCACAAGGAGGCGGAAGTTCCTGGTGCTGCCAAAGGAAGTCTTGTCCTTCGCTCTGTGTGAGCTTTGTGCTCACTATGTTCAGTTCTACAAGGGGGGGGGGTGCAAAAAAATCAACAGAATTTCAGTGTACTGGTGATGCTGACACCGGCATTGGTCGCAGAGTAGCTTGAGCAACAGTGAGGATGTATGCTTATGGTAATTTTTGAGCTATTAAGGTCTTGTTGGACTCAATAGGATTCAACAGTATTTTCTGTTCTCTCCTTTAGGGCATGCTGAACTTGCAACATGCTGGCTTATTTGACTTGAACAGCTTGAGGAAGAGTTAAAAGGCGGCTGTGCTTCGGTGAGAGCTTGAACCCACAGCTGGCGAAGACATGGGGAACACTGCGACCAAGTTCCGTAAGGCTCTCATCAACGGGGACGAGCTGCTAGCCTGCCAGCTCTACGAGAGCAACCCACAGTTCAAGGAGGCTCTGGATCCCAACGCCACATACGGAGAGTCCTACCAGCACAACACTCCACTGCACTACGCTGCCCGGCACGCCATGATGTGCCTACTCAGGTCAGAACTCAAATAAAAGTTGAATTGTAATGAAAAGTTGTTTTTTTTCCCACAGAGTTCATTTAAATTTCCAGTCTTGTTTTTTTTTTTTTCACTAGGTGAAGTCAGCGAGGATTGATTGATGAAGACATAATTGCCTTTGTTTTATTTGAATAGCTGTCTGGCATATCATTATGTGTGCAAAATGAATGTATTATAAGAGAAAAGTGTTGGTGTTTTGTCTCTATACGTCCCTTTCCCATCTGTCCTGCCGTACAGCCATCTGTTCTCAGGAATGCAACATGCTGTGTTGGAATAGGTTTGGATTCCAAGAGCTTCTCCATCTTATAAGCTAACAGCCTTGTATTCACTTGTTGTTGACTCACTGAGACCATTAGTTTTATTCTGTAACTAAATTGCCCTGACTGTGTGGCATTTTTACCTGACTAAAATTATTGGAGGGTTGTAAATTTGTTTAGTTTTGTAGTTTCCATATAAACTAATTTAAACTAAAAGCAATTTCATTTATAGTTTTCAAAAGATGTTTTTGTAATCAAAGTAGATTTTTCTGTGAAGTCAAGCACATCATCAACTTTTAAAGAGCTTGATCTAGAACTACTACCAGTGAACTAAGCTGTCAAAAAAAGTTTTAGATAGAGAGGCTTAGATAATAAGAGTATGATAATGGGTATTGAGAATTGCAAATGGTTTCAGGGATTCCTCCAGGATTTTTTTTCAACAACATGGTTTCAGTTGTGGGCATTTCAGACTGAATGTTTTCTGAAAAACACTTATTCACTATATTCACACTGTACAACTGAAATTACAACTGTCCTCTAGTAACTTAACACCATAATTTGCAGCCTGGCGGAACATTGTATTTTTCTTCATTTATTGAAAAAAGAGCTCCAAGACCGTGTTTTATGGGAACTCATCATTTCTATATTTCTCAAAACTTGAGGAAACTGCATCCCAATAAAGATCCCTGAGCATCTCCATCTAACCTCAATGCTTTCCTCACTATTTCTGGATGAGAAATGAGTCTCAATGGAACAAATTACCAGACATTAAGCCATAAAGCCTTTTCAAAGTGTATCTGAAACATTACGCATAAAGGCCAGATTGTATTAATTAACTACGTTACTGTCGTTGAGATATGAATTAAACATCTGAACGACTTGAACTGAAAATGCATTCAGTTCTACCTTCCTTAGGTACATTTCTTTTGACTTTTGTCTCCCCTTACTTCAGTGTCTGTAGGTGTTGGTTTTTCAAAATAAAGTAAACTTTAAAGTTTCATGATATTTACATAAAAAAAACAATTTAATTCTGGGTGTGGCAGCTTTTGTTTTGCTGTGGCGGTGCGCCACGATCGATTACATGTGGAGGAAACCCTGCGCTTATTGACCAAATACCAAACCAGAGCTAAGCCACTGACGTTCTTTGTTCATATTTCCCTTTATCTTCTAGGTCGTTTCTCATAGACAAAGATGGCAATCCTAACAAGCGCAACGTGCACAATGAGACATCTCTGCACCTCCTTTGCATGGGGCCTCAGATCCTGACCTCAGAGGGTGCGCTGCAGCCACGGATCTCGCGGCCCTACGAGGACGAACAACGTCGGACGGAATGCCTCCGGATCATCTTGTCTTGGACCGGGGCGAAGCTGGACCATGGAGAGTATGAGAGCGCTGAAATCAATGCCACTGACAACAAGAAAAACACCTGCCTGCACTATGCAGCCGCCTCAGGCATGAGGACCTCAGTTGAGGTGAGGTTTTAAAAACGTACTGTCTTCAACATATTCCAAGCTATAACCATAATTTAAAAACCTGAGCTGAGTGTTAAATTGCATCGTGTTAACTGATGTTGCTCATCATAAAAGTAACTTTGATTTGTCTTCCAAGAAAGAAGGAAAAAAAAAAGCTATCTCTACAGTTCCCTTCAGCTCTTTGTACACAACAAGTGCACACATACATTTTATTCATGTCTGCACAGCTTATTGTTTATCATAAAAAAAACACACTGCACTTTCTAATTAATCTGAATGACGTGTAGAATGACTTGTACTTGTAAAATTATATTGCAGCTGAATATTGTATTGTATATAGCATATAGTAGCACATGTGCGTTTACGCCACAATATTTTAGTTTATTTGGATACTAAAATTACTTACCCATATGGTGTAAGTCTGAATTGTAGCCCCATAACAGCTGTGACAGGCCTTTACTGTTGGGATAGAAACAGAATCAGTACGAAATTCTTAAAACACTGGGCCTGAAGGAAAAGTAGGGCATCTTTTTTTTTTTTTTTAAATCATATAGTAATACAAAAATAAATCATACTAGTAACTTTACTTTGGTGTAAAATTCTGGAGCAACTATGGTATTTAGATTTAGAAGCAATTGGCAATTACTTAAGTAGAGCAGACTTGAGCACAACTACCACTGAGCTGAACCAAAAAAGATTTTACAGAGGAGCACCAGGAGGCAGAATTTTTAAAAAGACATATTCTGACTAGATGAAGTGAGAGTGACTCTTAATGGAGCACATAGATGAACCCTGCAGCTGGATCGCTAATGGATGCAGGGCACCACTTTAAGTCAGGTGCCAGCTGGGTTGGAAGATGGCAGTTTTCATTAAGAGAGAGCTTGTTGGGCATTTTTAGGTCTAAAAAGGACTGAAAATCAGCTCCCAAATCTGCTGTCAGTATCTCGAAGATGCTGCCCTGAAGGAGTGGTACAGGGGAGATATGTGCAGCACTCAAGAGAGTGGTGTTTTTCTTTCAGGACAGTACTCTACCGCTTGTTCTACCTCTTGGATGGGCTGTAATGATGACATCTGTTGTGAAGTTGCAGTCGTCTGTTCTTATTTTTGTTATGCAGCGGTAGAGCAGCACACGGAGGGTTGAATTAGTAATATTCTGGTTTTATCACATATGTATTCACAAGACAAAGGCCAAAATCTTGACAGAGTTGAATTCAAATCAATCAGACAGACTTAACGTTAAACATTGCACTACGTGACTCGATGCCAGTTGTAGTTCCCACTAAAACAAAGCACTCACCAAGTGTCGGATTTGACTTTGAGTTGTTGCGAGACTGCACTCGTTCTGCAGAAAGGAGGAGAGAAAGAAAACATTCCTCATATGTGGAGGTGTGCCTGGAATCTCAAAGAAACACATACTGATAGAATGACTGCTGAACCACGTTATTTACCACAGAATTTAGTGCCAAAAATGATCAGCGAGAAGCAAAGAACTACCAGATAAGCAAAGCTGCATTGCGCTTCTCTTAGGATGTTGTCATTTTCCTTATCTACATTGTGCTGGAAACTCGAGGGAATGTAACTGTGCTACGTACTGGCACTTTGGAAAACTGCATTTATTTCATACGTATGATTGTTTTGTAGAATCACCAAAAACCTTTGGTGCTTAATTAATCTAACCTTAATCACAAAAGATCTGTTTGTGTTATAAGTGCTGATCATTTCACCACTTACAATCCCAGAAGCTTTTTGCATACCTAAATTTATATGTCATGGGGACATTTGGGATGGGCTTTGAGTTAAAGTAACTTTCTGTCATCTACTGGTGTTCAAACGTTTTGCACTGGGGGCCAAAACTGGAAAATTTAAAAAGTTCCACAAAGTTCATTACATTAAAAATGCAAAAATGTATTTATTGTGATTTTTTTTCCCCTCTTTTCTTTTTTTTTGTTTTACTTGCTCGACAATAAACACAATTTTTATTAAATTTATATATTGTTAAAGATCCAAGACAATTTATTTTTTTTTGGTCATCAATTGTTTTCTGCTTTGTTGGCCAAATTTGGACCTTTCTTGACTTATCAGGAGCTGAATACAACCATTTCAAGGGCCAAAGTCTGGCCCTTGGGAAGAATAATATATGAAAATAGGGTGTAATATAAAGCCTTCTGAAAATAATACTATTGCATTTAATTTTACATGTGATTGGATTGCAGTTGATTGGTCAAGATCCCAAATAACCAACAATCCCAATTTCCTGACTAAACTGAATTGATTGCCCAGTTTTAGGAGTTCTAGTGCAGACGCAGAGCTTCCCACAGATGCTGTGTAAGACGTGTGAAGTGATAACAATTTGCATCACTTGTTGTGGTTTAAGTGTTTTCAGTCATCTCCTATAATTCAAGCCATTTTTTTTCTTTTCTTGTCGCTTGCTCAGTTACTGCTGCAGAGAGGAGCAGACCTGTTTGTGGAGAACGAAAACCGTGAGACTCCATGTGACTGTGCCGAGATGCAGCACCACAAGGATTTGGCCCTGAGCCTGGAGTCGCAGATGGTCTTCTCTCTGGCCCCTGAGGCGGAGGGTATAGAAGCAGAGTATGCAGCCCTCGATCGAAGAGAGGTACAGAATAAAACCCTCAGAAACGGTTCATTTTGTTTGTCGCTGCCTGATTTGATTTACAACATTGCCTTGACCATTGTTTAGTGTAGCTTTGTCTGTAGTGCTGAGAATATAACAAGGCACTAAAAAAAAGTATCAGCTTTTTGCTCTTGCTCTCTCAGACACAGCTCTTTTTATAAGTTAACACATACTGGATACCTTCCTCTTGCTAAACCCACACAGTTTGTGTCACTTTGTTTGTTGCTGGTGTAAAATTACTATTTCTTTAAAAAGTTTTCTTATATTATCTATTATTTCAGTTACATTAGTGCACCCATGAACCCTGCTGCTAGTTAAGACAAACGTCCAATACTAAAAAAAGGAATTGCTGCCATATTTCTGTATGAGATGCCTTGTCTAGACAAATTGACATAAATTAATCTGCGCTAAAGTTTGTGATCTGTATCTTGTCTTTTATTGTGTCAATGTACATGACTAAGTCATGTCCCTGTAATCATTTACAGAGACTGCTCTGTTCTCTTTTCATCAGCATTTTCGTGGAACTTTCATCTGCATTGTCATCTGCTTTTGTCACCCATTATCAGACTAACTCTCTTGGTTTTTATTTGGCTGCAGTCAAATTTGCTGTTTTAACCTTCTAACCACCTTCAGCATCTATCCTTTCCCTTCCTATCTGTAAACTTGGTAATTCTTCTCTTGTCTCTGGCCTTTTTTTCCTTTTCAGTTGTATGAGGGCCTGCGGCCTCAGGACCTGCGGAGGCTGAAGGACATGCTGATAGTGGAGACAGCGGACATGCTGCAAGCCCCTCTCTTCACTGCAGAAGCTTTTCTACGTGCCCATGGTACAGTGAGACACAAACACTGGCACATATCTGAGATCTCTGTCCTTTACATTCATGGAGCAATGGATCTGAACAAGTAGCTTATATATGTAAATAAATTGCATGTCTAAACTACAAAAATAAGGATATTTTATTGAACATGAGCTTGTATTCGGTTAAATTGGTACGTAAGGAGCAAACGTGTGTCACACTATGCATATTTGAGAGAAGTTGCCTTTGTGAAGGTTTGCAATAAGACAGAATTTTACTATTTGTCTCTGAGTATTTATGTAGAATCCTATCTTAATTTAGGGATCTTCTAAGCATTCCTGCTCCATGACATAGGCTGAATTCTCAAAAAGATAAGAACAGACCAACTCTGGGTTGAGCCTTCCTGTTACCCCCTGAAGTTCTCTCTGTTGCAGTGGTCATCCCTCTAGTTCTTCCTGTCAACTTCATATCGTTTCTCATACTCTAACGTCATTTTAAACCAGTCACTAATACTGAAAAAACACTTTTCTACTTTCAGCAACAACTTTTACACTGTAGAGTGATGTTCCTAAGTTGAAGTCTTTGCTCAGCTGCAGTAACTATCGCTTGTTTCCCGCCTCCAGCCTATTTTTCAGTTCTTCAACAAAAATGCCGATCAGAAAAACGACATCAATCGATCTCTGACTCAAATGTTTAACTCTGAAAAAATCCTGCTCAAGGTGGATATTTTTATTTTGCTTGTTAAAAAAATCTGGTTCACATAACATGTTGGTGTATGACCCTATGTAAACTATCTGCACTGTTTGATACAAAGCAGAATTATTTGAATCCCTGAGAGCAACCTGCACACTCTCATGACAACATAGTAGCAGCAAGATTGCAACATCTGATGCTCCTTACTGTAGTCAGATTGTTTTCAATAACAACCCAACCCTTGCTAAGCAAACTCTGGCCAGAAACATTTAAATGTTTGTTTTTAATAGATTTGTGAAAAAAAACTTCATTGCAGATTACAAATGTATTCAAGCAGCACCTGACTTTCTGAAAGTCTTAGAGGTTTGGGAAATATTGGTCAAAATGTATGATTTATTGTTTGTTTCTAAATTTCTTAATCTTAATTAGATACATTTGTGGTAATGTCATTATCTACAGACTGACATTAATTTGAATATTATTGATTAGAATATTATTGAAAAGTTCATTAATTTCAGTAACTCCATTCACTGAATGGAGATCAGTTAGAAAGACAGCATTTGTTTCTTGCTTACAGATGATGACAACACAACATTTAAGATGAAAATATTATATCACATCAATAAAACCATATATCAGTACAGATATATGGACTTAATGAGAAGTATGTTTAATTTAGATATGTTTAAAAGTTATTTTCAAAATGCACAAACCTCATATTGTAATTTCTTGAATATTAATGTACTCATATTTTCTAAGGTATGTTTCCAACTAAATTATCCTACTTTTACATAATTACAAAGAAAGGGAGGATTTTCAAAACATTTGGATTTTTTTTGTCAGAATCTCTGTGTGAACTAGTTCACTGATTCCCTTATCAAGTCGATTTGGACTAACTACTGAGTCGGTGTGTTAGAGCTGAGATTTAGTTTGCAGCCTTTAGACACCAATTCTCAAAGTGGATTCACTTAACATCTGCCATTTGGTACAACTTCTAAAAAGCTTGTAATGTTTAAAACATTATTGGATTTGAAACTTTTCAAAACTGTCTTTTTTTTTTTTTAATTGAACCTGGTTTAAATGCAGTAGCTGTCTGTTGAGCTGCAGACGCTAGGACATGCCTGTGGGAGCTTAGAGGAAATCAAGCAGTGCTATATTTACTCGCCTATGTCATGGGAATACCGCCTGGCGGTCGGAAGAGGATGAAACGCTTCAGGATTTTCGTTAACGTCTAAAAGAACGGCTTATCGTCCGCCGCTTTTGGAAACTTTCACAGATTCCCACACTTTACTGACTTCTGTTTCATTATCAGCCTTTTTAGTTGACTTATCATGTTTCCTGCTGCTTGCCTGCTTGTCAGTCTTTCTGTGCTTCTAATAATTCACATTTTCTAAATGTGAAACAAAACTTTTAATTTCAGACTCGTATTTAATAGCTGAAGGCAGGAAGATAGGGTTATGCTCACTGATTGGTTTTAATTGAATGGAAATGGGGGGATTGTTGCGACATTCATTATCTAAATGAGGCCATTTGGAGTCGGAGGCATTTGATTGCTGCTGAAGCGTGTCTCGAGGCTGATAGCGTCCTAATTGCAGTTGACCCGGTCATGTTCCTTATTTTAAGAGGGGAGAATATTTGGACTGAGGCACGGTCTGCAAGTCACTCCCAGTTTATCCTCAGAGTCTCTCAAATTGGTTTATGTAAGTTGGGGAGCTGTTCTAAAACACAAAACCAGGTGGCAGCAAGTTTCTGTCTATTGAACCCAAAATTATGTCAACTGTAATTTAGCATTGCCCTAGCAAATGGGCTTAAATGAATGTCTTAAAATGACTTTCTTATGAATAAAATGCAAACCTCTTCATGAAACCGATTTGTTTTTACTGGGTCAACCCAATTTAGGTTTTTTTTGCATTGTAACATTTTTCAAAACACTTCTTCTGTAATCTTGTTCTACTTCATTATGGCCATTTTATTTGTAGAAAATGATGTAATTGCGAAGAATTTTGGATTTATTTATTTATGGATCTACATCTCTTTGTTTTGGCTGTCCTTACAATTACTTATTAAAGCTTAAAATCATTTATACTCTTAATTCTTCTCTTGCTTACTTTACTTGCTTGTTTTTTAAAGAAACATGAATCCTGACACTTTTCCCTTAACCAACTGTAATTTGTGATGGGTAGGTAAAATGCTGAAAAAATTGGAACATTTTTCATTATATTAAATGCGTCATTTTTTGAATCCATTTTTGATCTGTAAATGCTGCGACCATCAGCCTGTACTTGGATACCCTTGATGAATAAATGTATGGTCAGTTGGATTAAAAACTACCACAGCAACAAAGGGCCCTCAGTTTTTCTCTTGTGTGTTGCTGCCTTCAGAATGAGAAAAATTAATTGTAAAAGTCTGAATTGGGAGGTCAGAACCGAAAGGAAAAAAGCCTGATGAGTTCATCTCCATGTTTTTGTCAGACTGGGACCGAGAGAAGCTTCTGGAAGCCTGGATGAGTAACGCCGAGGAATGCTGCCAACGATCAGGGGTGCAGATGCCCAACCCACCCCCTAGTGGCTACAACACTTGGGACACACTGCCGTCGCCCCGGACACCTCGCACCACCCGCTCCTCCGTCACTTCCCCAGACCAAATCAGCCTCTTAGCGGTGGATGACGATTCCTCTCTGGTGAGAAATTTGCAATGTTTTTTTTTCCTTTTTCTCCCAGTTTAGACGTTTGTGTGGCGCTGATCCATTTAATACAGAACATTCAGGTTGGAATAAGGTTTCTCTTCAGTACGCACTGTGATATAAATGCATTGCAGTGCTTATGGAGACTTCCGTTACCTTTCCTCTTGAAGTAGTTCTCTATGTCCGTCATCAGCAGACTCCATGGGGATGAGTAAGGATTTGTTCCAAAACAAAATCTGGAGAATAAGTTGACTTGCACTTGCTTCAAAGAAGGGTGTTGAAAAGAAGGTTGTTTGGTATTTTTTCTTCTTATTTTAATTCAGATAAAATCAGCTGTAGATTGAGTGGAGATGTGAAATGCAAAAATGGCAGTCCGGAGAGAGCATAAGGCTTTGCCGACCAGTTTGACAAATGGCCCTGAGCATACTAGCCTCAGTGTAACATCTGGCTGATTTTGGATGAAGTCTGCATGTTTCCAAACACATTATTTTTTCCCAGTCGATCGTATTAGCTCTCGCACATCTACATTCGTTTAGAAGTCATTATTTGTTAGTATTAGTTAGTTTGTTTGTAGTAACTGGTGTGTTTGCCAGTTGTCTGACCCACAAAAATAAACACTAACAGAACCCATCCTCGTCTTTCCCCAAGAGAAAAAAAAAACAGTTTTGTTGATTTTGGTTTAAACAAGTTGAGAATCGAGTAAATATTGACATGCTTTCCGGAAAATGTTAAAAAGGCAAGATTTGGGTTCTTATTGATGAATGACCAAGACGTCTGTGCTTATGATATAAAGATAAAGGTGATGAAAGGCTGCCTTATGCTACAGTTAAAATTGATAGCTGTGGGAATTTAAAGTTTAGAGTGTTACTATAAATCAAGAGACTGGATATATTTATACGTAGTTGGCTGGGACATTCATTGGCAGTCCAAGTTTGCCTTAAAAATGAACCACAGTGTATAATTACTGTAGCTTACAAATGTAATTTATTAATTGTCTGGTGAGTAATTGTTCCATTTGACTCACACTGTCTGCACTCTTGGCTCTTCGTGAGCGTAAATGCACTGTGCCAAGTGCACTCAAGGACTCATTTAAGTCTGCAAGTTGATTTTTATCATGTTCTCCAGCCTAAATCAATAGTTTCATTGTTGAACTACACTGCCTCCTCTTTGTCTTTTTGTGTGGGGCAGTCCTCCAGTATAACAGCTCCTGTCTGCCTGGCCCCGTTTGTTTTTTTCGTGGGTGTGAGAAAATACGTCTGCTAACAGAACGGTCATCTGTGATCCCTGTCGATTTTGAGAGGTCGTAATCTTAGCAGTTATCCTTCATAAACCGACCTTTGTTATCGTATGGACTCGCACCCACGGACACGTCTGATTAGTCACCGCTTTCCCGTCCGTTTATATTCCAGAGGATAATGAAGTCTATTTACACATCTAAATATTTTTGGAACATTTTCTCAGAAAGAATACTCTTAGTGTTTAGGCTTGAATAAAACACTCCAAACGAAACAAAAAACCCAAATCAAACATAATGACAAGCCGGTGCATGTATTCTATGCTAAGACTTTGAAGTTTCATTGTGAACTTGTAGTCATCTTTCTATCTTAATGTTTTGTCTCTCAGTGTGGTATCTGCATGTCTTCCATCTCCTTCTTTGAGGAACCTGTTGACATGTCCTGTGGCCATGATTTCTGCAGAGCATGCTGGGAAGGGTAAGTAACAGAAATCCAAAAATCTGGATTTGCTTCAAGTGTGGGTCTCCTACAAACACCAATGTCAAGGCTGACATGGATAAATAAAAGCCTGTTCTGTGGTATCAGACAGGAAGAGAACGGTGGAAGGAAAAACAACCTGCACATGCATTAATCAAGGGAACACTACAGTTTTCTTTGTACTTTAATTAACAGTAATTATTTTGGTGAAATGAGTATGTTAATTATAACATGCCAATAATAATGAAGCATTAGTCGGTGGTTCATTTATTCTAAATCACCTTGTTTAATCTGGTCTACTGTTGCAGAGCAGCATAAGAGGGAAAATCCTGCTACGAACTGCAGTGTTTCTATGGATGCTTTTTCAGGATAAATATTCATTTTTATTTGATAAAAAAAAAATCAAATAAAATATAAAGATGCAAAAATACTTCAGATATTTTTTTCTCATTTATGAGTTTCATCACAAAGGTTAAGCATTTCTTATGAGCTCAATGTAAACTCCGAAGGGTGAAGCCTAGTTTTGCTCCTCCGTCTTCTGGTTCTTCATATATTACAAAATATATGGAGAAATTGCATTTGTGTCAAAATTTGTTTTGAGGCTTTAAATTAAAATGTCAATCTTAAAAAATTGAAGGGGAAATTTTGTTGAAGTTATGATACCAGTGAAGTTTTCATTAGTGTTTACATTCATAAATCATTGATGTCTGTAAAACCTGTGTCCTTTTGAAAGGTTTCTCAATCTAAAGATCCAAGAGGGAGAAGCGCACAACATTTTCTGTCCAGCCTATGATTGTTATCAGCTGGTGCCAGTAGAAGTCATCGAAAGCGTGGTCTCCAGAGAGATGGACAGGCGATACCTGCAGTTTGACATAAAGGTGCATTTAGTTTAATAAGCATCTCTGTTATTCATGCAGATGAACTCTGAGGAGAAAACCTCAGAGTTCAGGTCAAAATCTTGGAAACTGTTGTTAGTTTGAGACTGTATTTGTACTTCCACATTGATTTCTAGAGATAAGTGTTTCTTCTCAGAAACGAGCTTTTATATATATTTCTTAAGAAGTAGCTCTCACAAATAAACAATAACTCTGTCCTCACCTGTCAACATGTGTATTTGAATCAATACCTCTGTCCTTAATTAAAAAAGGCTAAGATCTTCTATACAACACAGAATAAACGAGAAATCTCTTCATTAGTGATAAAGTCATTCATAGACCAAGATTACGACTTTGTGCTCCTGAAATATGGCAGCCTTTCACATTTCAGAGTCTGTTTTAATCTGTAAGCTGGTACAGTCGTTTCATTCTCATTAACCCCATCAGCTAAACCACCAATGTTTTGTTGAACTGCTGACTAATTTAAATCTTCTTTTCTTTCTCCCTTTTTGAAGGCGTTTGTGGAAAACAATCCAGTGATACACTGGTGTCCTGTTGCAGGATGTGAGAGAGCAGTACGACTAAACGCTCAGGCCCCTGGAACCTCCAACGCAGACCCTCTAAGCTTTCCCCTGCTTCGGGCCCCGGCAGTAGACTGCGGCAAGGGCCACCTCTTCTGCTGGTCAGTAAGATGAATAGTGCTGCTTTAGGTTTATGCTGCTCATAAAATTGGCAGTTTTGGCTTTTCAAAATTAGCTGAGATATAATACTGGTGAAAGAAAAGTTTGTTTTCTGTTTTAAGAACACTTGTTTTGTTTTTCTCTTGTGGAGAAGATGGCTCTCTGTGAACTAAAGAAAACCTTAAGATAAGCTCATTAGTTGCTAATTCTTTTTGAAAGTTTGGAGTTGGTTCTGTTTTTCATATTCATCACTGCCCTTGTATTTACCTTCTTGCCCACTGGTCTAACCTCTAGCCCACCATGATTAATCCCACCTACTTACAATGATAATAGCTTAGTGCACCTCACTTCATTATAGCGTTCTTGAAAGTGGCTGGTGGGTACCCTCAGGAGTTTAATTGACACAGCATTTGTTAGGGGAAACGGATCTAACATGGGTTCAGCTTTAGCAATTTCCATAACAAGGAGGGTGTAGAGATGAAATGCAGATTTAGCCGTCTGAAGGTGAATCAAGACTTTTTCAACATTTTTTTTAAGACCTTTCTTGTTTGAGTGCCTTGTTTTAGACTTTCTTCATGTTTATTCAGAATGTAAACCGTGCTCTTCCTACTTTACATTTATATGTACTTTATTAGGGAATGTCGAGGAGAGGCACATGAACCCTGTGACTGTGACACATGGAAGCTGTGGCTTCAGAAGGTCACTGAAATGAAACCTGAAGAATGTGAGTATTTGTAGCTGTTTTTGTATTTCCATTAGTTTCCAGGCGTGTTGCGTTGTTTCAGTTTTAACAGCTCATACACAATTCTGACAAAATCACATGTGGGTAATTTGTTCTCTTACTAAATTCGAAATGGTTGTACACAGGACTACGGAGTGTGCATAGTCTATTAATATGTTTTTTGCTTGTCTCCAATTAATTTCTGTTCTGGGAACCCTATTAGATTACTGGGTAGTACATTATTATTACAGAATAGTTGGTGTGTTATCGCTTAGTTTGTTTATTTTTCTGCGGAATAGTGATAGATTTGGGAATAAATTGCCTGGTACTTCTTCATAGTAATTACAAGCAATTTGGTAAACAAATTAAATTGCACCATTTTCGTGACAAATTATAAATTAAAAAGATTAACCCATGTATTGGAAAATTGTTGCAATGTCAAAGAGCAGTAATTGGACTGTAAGCAATGTAATAGATGATTTAAGATGACCCAAGTTGCTCCTGAGTGCCAGTTTTGTTGATGTGACGGGAGAAAAATAATGGCAATTATTTTGTTTTGGTGCCATCTCCTGTTCGATTTCCCCTGATTCTCTTTCATGCTGGCATTTCAAATGACAGATCAGAGATGCTTTGTTAATGGCCAATTACACTGTTCAAATGTGTGTACGTGTTGAGAGTGGGTGCATCGGCGTCCTGGGAGATGTCTGTGAAATACCTGAGCAGCACACATTGCTCAGGCAGGGCAAGTTCCCATTCAGCGTAGTAGTTTGTATTGATGCTGGTGTAATAGTCATTCTCATTTGATCTCATTACGTTTTTATTTGTTGTGTTTACTCCTCCTCTCCCCCACTCCTGTTGCAGTGGCTGGCGTAAGTGAAGCTTATGAGGATGCAGCGAATTGTTTATGGTTGCTCTCCAATTCTAAACCCTGCCCCACCTGCAAGTCTCCAATACAGAAAAATGAGGGCTGCAATCACATGCAGTGTGCTAAGGTACGCTACAAAAGATGGTGTCGACAAACTTCTTACCAATGTGACATAAAACAGCATCTACTGGGCATTGAGTTTAGTTTTCTTTTTGAGTTTTACAAGTATCTAAGAAGTTCTTTATAATGTGTTCTTTTTTCTTATTTATACATGGCCACAATTAAGGGATCAAACAGAAACTATTCATAATTTCATCTTGGCATGACTGCTTTAGAAAATTTGAAAGCAATTTGATACGTTCCAACCTAACAAATATCAAAACTGGATTATATTATTATGTGCATTTAATTCCTGTTTTTAAAATTCATTGACTTAAGGTTGTGCAGTAAATTGCAAATATGTCATCTTGACAATATCAGTAGGTCCAATATTCATATTGCAAATGACTGGAGTGCATCTGCGATATGTCGCCTAATATGTACCAACTGTTACGAACTTGCATTTTGAAGGCTAATGTAACATTTAACCAGTTGGTGTTTCACGATAGTAGACGCGCACACCAAATAGACATGACATTGTTCAAAATGCTAAAGGTCACACAGTGTAGGAAACACAGATGAGATGGGGAAGGAAGAAGATAATGAAGATCTGATATAGTCATTGCAAGATTTTGCAGAATTGTGTATTTTGTTATCAACTCAAACTGAAAAAAGAACATTATAAATAACTAAACCTGATGAAGCAGATAATGAGCGGATGTAAATCTCCAAAATCTTAAGATTATATTTAGAAAACAACTTGGTCTGAATAGATAATTTATAAGCTACCACTAAAGCAATTTGACACCTCATATGCTGACACACTTCTTCCTATTTTTGCAAATTTAGGATCCCTTTAAGCTCTAAGTGGATTATTGTTCGATACCAATTCATTTAATTTTTGCTTTGATGTTTTATTTAAACCATCCAGGTACATTTTTCAGAGTTTACGCTGTTTTTCAATTATATGATTATTTCCAAACAATGTGCTCAAGACATGAGAAGGTTTATTTAATCTTATGGAGCTAATTATTTACCTTTTTTAACATTTGGAAGTGTCAAAAAAAAAAAAAAAGGCTGTAACAAAACCTTACATAAAAAAGAGCTTTGGAGTTTCAGACTAAATACTTTTGACTCTGCTGAACACCTGTCGTGATTCTGAAGTGTCGAACATCTTTTGAAGTCTCTTGATCCATTTTCGCACACACAGTCTCCATCCCTGAAACTGTTGAGATGTTCCAGAGGGGCAAGATGTGGGAATACTACATTTCCTTTGATCCTCTTGAGAAGTCAAGTAATAACTCTGCAATGTTGCAATATCTGAAGGAGTCAGTGATTCATACTTTTTTTTTTCCTTCATTTATACACGTCTTATCTATCTGCAGCTCAGCTTCTGCTTAGTGCTGTTCTGGCTCGTCTAGTATGGAGACACAGAAGTTAAAACTACCAACGTGAATTATTAACCTTTCCCATCTCACAGCTCAACTTAATAACAAATGGCGACCTGCTGACTGTGAATCAACAGCCTGAAGAGGACTTCAGGTTTACATGCTTACACAGAAAATATTTCTTGGGAGAAACCGATTTCACATATAACAGGAAGAGGCTAGTGAAGAACCATCCATTCTGGCAATGACTAACGACAGCCTGCTACGTAGTCAAGGCTGAAGAACTGGTGAAAAGTTTGTGTCAGACAGATGATCAAAAAAAAAAAAAATTCTTATTGCTAAGGCAACACATCTAGCTGAAGATAAATGATGGTTTGGGGGTGTTTTTGATGCAGTTCCAGCCGATGATGCTTTTAATCACATTTCAAGGCATATTCAATCAACATGTTTATTACTCTGTCAAGTTGTGCTGTGTTTTACCTTCAGGAACTTATCTGAAAGGTTTCAGTGTTGTCAGGCTGAAGGACAGTGAACTCAGTCCAAACTCTGCTGCACAACAAGCCGTTTAAAAGGAGGACCGTGTTCTGTTAGTCATCTGACCTCCACCTTTTAAAAAGGCTTTGGGATCAGCTTCACCAAAATGTTCAAATCCTTTAACCAATAAGTCTGTGGGGGTTTTTTGGGGTTTTTTTGCCAACATGCTTGCAAGTGTGAAGGAGAGACTGCTTCCTTTAAAACTCTCAGCTAGGATAGTTTACAAAGCTTTGATCAGATTCAAAGTTTGCAACTTTAGCATCTACACTGTTTATACCAGTAATCTTATTTAGATATTGACTCTCATTTTCAGAGAGACTTGTTTTTAACAAAAACACAACATGACAGCATGGTAAAAAGTAAAATATGTGATTATAAAGAGTCCAGAAATACTTTTAATTTCCCTTTGGAATAAATAATGTAATTATTATATATGCCAAGTTTCTTCAACAAGTCGTCATAGATGGTGATTCTGTGGGCAGAAAGGATCCCCGGTTGCAGTCAGTCATACAACAAATCTGTAGAGAGCTCTGACTGAAGACTGTGGCCGTTTCCCTAAAAGAAGCAAACTCCAGAGAAAACAGAGTAAGCCAACTAATGTAGCAAGCCAAATAATAATACTGCTAAAGATATGTGCTTTATTTAAAGTGTTAGAACATAAGGGATGTAGGTACTTATTTGAAGAGCCTTTATGTTAAAAGATGACTTTATAGTTTTTAGGAGATGGAGTGTGTTCACTTTGTAACATATTGGGTTTAAAAGATAAAAGCTGTTTAAAATGTTGATGGATTTCTCCGGCCCCTCTATAAGCCAGATTCTGTGTATTTTCCTGTTTTTGTTTTGCAGATAAGATTTTTTTTCCATCTTACTTTTGCAATTTAATTTGTGCAACAAGAATGGCCTTCAACCAAGCGTTAGATTTCATTTGTACTTTACACAGCTTGTGAAAATTTAACAAAGGGTGAAAATCTAAAGATTTGTTTTTTGTCTAAACTTTTTTAAGGTTTTTTGTTTCAAGTTTAGCTTTATGAAGGGAAATTGTGATGGCATGTTACCTGATAAGTCCAAACTACAATTCCTCCTATCACTGTTGCACGTTTCCCTAAAAGAAGCATACTGCAGTCATACTGGCGGGATGTTGCTTATTTTACTATGTGACAGTCCTGTTGCTTCCTCCACTGGTTAAAGGGGCTGACTAGAGACTTGCTATTCACTTTGGTGAAATGGAGCTGCCTTCGCGAGCTGAAAGGCCATGTGAGGCTGAGCCTCTTGACCTGTTATTACCTCGTAAAAAATTGTTTTAACCTCACTGCTGGGAAACATGGGAGACAGTGTTGCCAAGGAACTGCCATCTTCTTCCTTCTGTTCTTTCGTTGCACTTTTTTTTCCCCTCCTCTATTGTCTGTCCATTTTACACCCTCTTTGTTTGTGTCTTTACTTCCATTTACCACCCTTCCCTTCTTCATCCCCTCCGCCCCACTTCTTAGCTTTCGCATTGGTTTTTCTGAAGTGTCATGTAAGTGTAGCGTTACCAGGACAACACAGATGTCAGCCCTTTGTGTCGGCTAGCTTGTCACCCATAGAAGCACTTGTGACACAGAGAGAAATTACTTAGATGCAAACACGCTGCAGATCCAAGCACTTGATGCGTTTGTTATTCAGCAATGCCGATGGGACTGGTCGCTAACGTTGTCGGTGTACCTTCTGGTGGCAGCAGACTGCAAGGAACTGTGACATCTTAAGAGTTGCTGTTATGATGCAAAACATAGATTTTTCCTTTATCCTCTGTCTGTTAAGACAAATAAATGAGAAGCTTAGTTCAAGTAAATAATTTTACATTCTAACATAAACTCTTCCATTAGCTTATCATTTGTAACTGATTGTAATTCAATTCATTTTCAAGGTTTTAAAGTGGTAAAAAAAAAATCAATAGTTAAATCAATTGAGCTGTATCTCAGTTTCTAATTTACCACAGGGTAGGGCAAGTGAATATTATTACTTTGCTCTTTAGTCTCAGGAGTAGCATCTAATTGCAGCAGATGCTGTAAACGAGATATTGCTTTTCTGCTCCGCCAGTGTAAGTACGACTTCTGCTGGATCTGCCTGGAGGAGTGGAAGAAGCACAGCTCGTCAACCGGCGGCTACTACCGCTGCACCCGTTACGAAGTCATCCAGCAGGTGGTGGAACAGTCGAAGGAAATGACAGAGGAGGTACATGCAGCCACACTGGAATTGGATTTGGTTACATAAGAGTTGTACGTTATTTGCAGTGATTCCATCCCAGTAAGATGTACTGTCTTAAATAAGATTTCACAGCCATGTGTGACAACAGGGAGCAGACACGGTTGCGTGACGGCAGCTGTTATTTGAGTAGCCCCCTGTTGCGATGATGTAAAATAAATATTTCGCAGGCAGCCAAGCTTCTTCTCTGTTTATTAGTTTTTTTTCATGAAAGCATTAAACTGAAGAACAACTCAGTATTTAATTTGATTCATATGAAAAAATGAAGAGGAGGTACTGCTTGCATTGTTATGGTAAAAAGAACTAGAAAGGGGATTATGAGAAGGCAAATATATGTGCAGTTGATATTGTTCATACATTTTCTCAAAGCACTCAATAAACTATGCCAGCAAAGGCAGTGTTTTTGTTGAATTATATTGACAATAAGGTAATTGTAATGCACTGGCAGGGTTTTTCTTAATCCTCTTATTTATGAAACAGAAACACATATGTAGTAAACCACATGAACCACATATTTTATTCATTAAGGGGTAGTAGTCAAGGGCAGCTTTTAGACCTGTTGATTTAATCATCCAATACTTCATCAACAAATTTAAAGGAGTGCTTCTTCTTTTTTGCTTAATAGTATGAGCGGAAAGTCATTGAAAACACAAATGACACACGTTTCCTGTCACAAAGTCTCCTGCTCACAGGTGAAAAGAAGCTCATTCTTAGTCTCAGTTTGCATTCCTCCCAATCATCAGTACAGATTTCACCTTTGGCACGGCTTCCTTTGACTCCTCGGATGCAGGGTATTAACACTTTGTCTGTTAGGGAGAACAACATGTTCAGGAGTTTATTGACTGTGACTGTCTCGTCACGGTTTTGCAGGCAGAGAAGAAGCACAAGAGCTTTCAGGAACTTGATCGTTTTATGCACTACTACACACGCTTCAAGAACCATGAGCACAGCTATCAGGTAAACTTTGCCTCCCTCTGTTGTTTCATTTGCATATCATACTGACAGGCGTGCAGGCCAAGAAACCTTGGGGGAAACTTATCTCGCAGACAGACAAGCACTCATTCTGAAGTCCTAATCTACAAAGGTTGAACCTTTTTGTATGATCCAGCTGTAATGTTATAATGTGCAATGATATTAAGTAACAGCTGAAGTAATTAACTGTTTTTTTTTTTTTTTTTACAACTGCAACCTTGGTATTTAACATCTGACACCATGTTAACAATCAGTGTACACAGGTCATTGTAATAAATGTTTCAGTAGAAGCTTTTCTTTATCGTCCTAAAAGCATAAAGACAAAGGAACTTTTCAGGAAACAGTGGCTGGTTGTCATTTTATGGCTGATTGGCGTATCAAGTCTATAAATCAATCTTATTACAGAAGCCATCTCTTCTCTGCACTGCTCTGTTTAACTTTGTCTCTGTTCATTGTTTGTGAGGCAATGTTCCCAATGCTGTTTAAATGCAACAATTCAACCTTGTGGCTTCCTCGTAGCTCGAGCAGCGCCTGTTAAAAACGGCCAAAGAGAAGATGGAGCAGCTCAGTCGAGCCCTCAGTGGAAGTGAGTGTTCAGTCTGCCATGACAGTGTGAATTTTTATTACACATTTATCTGCAAATTTGTCGCCATCTTTGGCATTAAACATTTGTAAACTGTGGGACATGAGAGTAAAAATACCTAGGAAAGTCACTTAATTAGGTACATTTGCAATATTTAGCAGGCTATACTGGGCTTCTGCACAGGTTTGAAAAGTACAGAGCTGGAATTTATGATTTCTTAACTTGACCTTTGCCATTTTCCAAATTCAAGCTTTAGAGCTTAATGGAACACAACATAAATAGCCAGAAGCATTTCCTGCTGATTTACTGCACAATGCTATGTGTTAATAGGAAAAGCTCAAAATATCATCTGCTGCATATTAAGAAGAGTCCAATGATGCAATGACTGATGCTTATTACCACTATTTCACTGTTTGCTTATATTTACTTTGCAGATAATTGCACCCAAATTCCCTGTGAGCACCACTGAATGCGTCAAACTTTACCACTGAGCCGTGACATTTGCTCAATTAACTAAAAGACAAACATTTTTATTTCAGATATGGAATATAAGTTGAGCACAGTTTCTAGAAATCATCAAGGCACATTTTAACTGAAATCTCTTAAAAAATGCTTCTGTTTAGCAAAGGTAGGTTTTGTTCTAATACAAAGCAATTTAGTTTTATTATAATCTGTTGCATGAAATCATGTCGTCCTCAGAGTCACCCCCCCAGATAATTGGAGATACCATCTCCAGTCATCATATTTACTAATTAGTTTATTGTATGGATAAAGGTTTGAATTCTAAACTCCAATAAAAGACTGTGCCTCCTTGCATTTTTCTCTGTTTTTGTAATGTAAAATGTAGAGTTTTTTCCTTACAGAGCCCTCTCGGGAAAGAAATGTATTCAGATTAGACAATTAGTGTCGGCGTAATGCAAGAGAATTAAAATTCATAACACATAAAGGGCAGTGCACCTCTTGACACCACATCTGTAACTTAAAAGGACAAAACCTGGAATTGATTTTCTATAGGTGCTTTGTTTCTCGGGTTTCTAAGACTAAAGTGAAATAATGTAGATGGGATTAAAAGGCTGTGCTAAATTGTGTTTTCTGACTCTTCCTACTTGTCTTGCGTAGGGGAAGGAGGCCCCCCTGATACTACGTTCATCGAAGATGCGGTCCTAGAGCTGCTGAAGACCCGCCGCATCCTAAAGTGCTCTTATCCTTATGGGTTCTTTCTAGAGCCCAAAAGCACAAAGAAGGAGATCTACGAGCTTATGCAGGTTTCAGAGCATCTTATTGAAAAGAAATGCCAACTTCCACAGCAAGTCTGTCTTACATGGGCCAATACAGATGGGGGGCTAAAGATTTATAGCTCATGATCTTCCCCACATACCACCGTTAAACCAGCACATCTTATCTTTTTGTTATTGGATGTATGAATACCAGTACCGACACAGAATGGGCTTCTCTAAAGTATTGCAATTTGACTATTTGTACTACAAATATCTGATTCTTTTATAGGTCTGAAGAGGTTTTGATCTTAAGGCATGTTGGATATTAAATGGTCGGCAGAAGAATGTTTCTACACCGCCACCATCTGATGTGTCAATTGTAGCATTGGAATAGAGCGATGGCAGGGAACAAGGTTAAGCAGTGAAACTCCTGACAAACTAGTTAGTTTGCAACAGTGCTAAGATTAATAAATTTTAAATACCAACTTAAATGTGACGGTATATATTTTTGTTTTCTTTGGGAGTTTTGAAGCTGCTATAGCAACTTCAAAACCCTTGTTCTAGCTATTCTCTTGTTTTCTCTTATTTTTTAAAAATCAGAATCAGTGATTCTGTAAAACAGGATTTTAATAATGTTTTAAAAAATAAATACAAAATTATTACAAATATAACATTTTAAACTTTTGCATCTTAATTCAGCAAGTGTTGGTAAAACAGAGGTCTCTGTGTTTATTGTAAAAAAAAAAAATGTTGATTTCCACCTTCACTCTGACTTTTCCAAAACACTGCTAACTTTTTCAAATCCAACATGTTTCATGGCACAGTGATTAGTCATAAAAACAAAACGGAAAACCTTCATTGTTCTCCAGCCTTCCTCAAATCTGGGGAAGGTCTTGCTGTCTTGCAACCTGAATCAGTTGGAGACATTTTTCAGTGTCAGAGACAGATAACTACAGTATAAAGTTTTACATTTTAATTAGCTTCCTACATTTCTCTGCTGGCTTTGAATTAATTTTTGAGTACTTTGCTGGTACTGAAAAATTTTCAGTTTTAGTTTTCTTTGCTTAGCAAAAACACGTTTACCAGAGTGTTGTTGGAGTAACCTTGGGACACATAGATATATTGAACTTTAAACTTTGCTTACATTTCCTAAAGACACTTATTTAACTTTCCTCGGGAACCGTCTTTCCGCCAGCTCACCATCTTTTTGCTCTTAGACCGACTTGGAAATGGTGACTGAGGACTTGGCTCAGAAGGTCAACAGGCCCTACCTGCGAACTCCACGCCACAAGATCATCCGAGCTGCATGTCTTGTACAGCAGAAAAGACAAGAGTTTTTGGCCTCAGTGGCAAGAGGAGTGGCTCCAAATGACTCTCCTGAAGCCCCCAGACGCAGGTAGAGTACAGAAAGGCAGATCACTAAATGCTTTAAATATTTATATGTATTTTTATGATGTTAGTTGTACATAATTATTTTATTAATATCATTTTCGGTCTTTTTCCCAACAGTTTTGCAGGTGGAACATGGGACTGGGAATATTTAGGCTTTGCATCACCTGAGGTAAAGGATTGTTTGTTTAAAATACCTACTCTGCTCAAGAATATACTCGTTTTACTATATAACAAATTCAGCCAAATAATGTGTATTTCACTGATGCATATCATTGAAATTTACCATAGAACTGTTTTTTGTCCTTTTGAAGTGACTTCTAATTATTTCAGTACATCTTAACACTTGTAACAAAGTCATGCATGTCGAGACACAACAAAAAGTACAGCACAGGAAAAGTTGTGACAAGGAATCAGCTGCCACATTTATCAATCAGTAATCACCATTGATAAAAGTGATGCATCTTGGTTTGATGCATTGTATTTTGAGTAAGCATTATAATATTTAGATATTTATGTGATGCTTTGGTCTAAATATATTCATTATTGCTTTGCAAATGGCTGAACATACTTTATGGAAACCGTCAAATACAAAACTTCAGCGTACAAATCAACAAAATGTAAATTTTATTGGTTGCTTGACCTTAAAAACTTCTAGCAGAAGATGCAAACATTAGCCAATGTTTCATTTTGACTCGAGTTGTAATGTGAAAAAGGTCAATGGCTGATCTGCAAATTTATTATTTTGACCCTTATGAAAGGGCATGAAGTAACAAGGTTTAATAAGTGTAGAACACATTTTTTCCTAGTTTAAGTATTTTTATTTTTTATTTTTTTTGTCATTCAAAGCTTGATCACATCTTTTTAACATGTTCACATTTGTTTGAAACTGTCCTCGGTAATGATAGTTGGCATTGTGTTGTGGTTTTCCAAAACCTCAGAGTCTTCTTGATAGTAAAAAAGGCAGGTGAATGGTGTTCTGGAACTGACTGAAGTGTTAGGTCTGTGTTTGTTTGCTGGCAATTTCATCTTAAGAGGAGGCCTCTTCTGAACTGATCAGTTTCATGTCCCAAACACTTTGGTAGCTTGTTTGTCTTATCAGCTACTGGTTGTTCAGGTTATCCTCAGTTGCTTGCTCAGAGGTCACTTTCAGAGTGGCTGTGCTTTTCTTTCTATAGTTCTTGGGGAAGCTCTGTCTGTAGCAAATAAGTTTTTCCAAACAAAAAAAAAAAAGGACTTATGTAACCAGGCAGAAAGCTGGCTAATCTGTTAGAGTGATTCGGTTGCTACAATGCCAAAAGATTTACACGCGTTATTTAAAAAGGGTATAAACAATTTTTGACATGTTTTTTGTTTTTTTCATTCAAAACTGCTGTTCATTTTTACATTGTTCTATCTCTCGAGAAGGAGACTTCATTTCCTATGAGAAACTTCTTTGCGAATGAAAATATTCTTCAATTAAAAATGTCAGTGGTGGGACATTACTGACTTAACAGACTTAGCCCGGTACTCTTCATGAACTACATCCATTGTGAGTGTTGAAGACAGTTGCGGTCCATCCAACTAGCCAAATATATTATTAATATAAAAGGTAAATGTATAACATCTTTATTATTACACCCTACCAAATATTGAGTCAAATAAATCCTTTGCAATTTTGCACACTGATTTGTGGTAATGGTTGCAATTCCATATGCCAAATGAACAGACTTAACCTGCTACAAGCTAAGTTATATTGCTCATTAAGGCTCTTCAGTAATCAAGCTCTTACTTTAGATTTGAAGTGGTAAAGCAACATGCATAACTCCAATGCCTATGATTTCTTAGTATAAATTATTTTTGATTGGAAGGTGCTTAATTTGCTTAATGTATTTGTACCACTACTCTATTAATATCACAGCTAATGACAGTTAATAAATTGCTGATTTAGTTGATTACTGGAGCTCAAGACCTTCGTATGAAATTAAAACAAACATCTAAACCTTGTTCCCATTCCTGTTTAAAGCATGTGCTTTGAAGCAGCACTGACAAACCATGACAGTCCAAAGATCCCCATTGCTTTCTGCACACTGGAACAAGCCAGATGGCACAGTGTTCCCCTGTGCGCTCTTCAATGATTAAAAGTGTTACACTCATGCAAAAACCCGAGTATGGGTCTCTGGGTAATAGCGCATTAGTTACAGATATTTGTGGTCAACACTTAGAGTCATAAAACTATCAGCTTCGATTATCGTCTTACCGTCTTTACCCATACAGTTATCAGGACATTTTGGTTTTCACTCGAGCTGTAGACTATATAAACACACAGACTGATAAGTATTGTTCTGTCTGTAGTCTTTAAATAATATATTTTGTTTTCATTCTCTACAATGTAAGGTTGTCATTCCCTGTGGAAGTTTTTTATTTTATGTATAGTTTTAAATTTATATTAAAAAAAAAAGAAAAAAAAGATTGATTTTGATGATGGATCAGTTCTATTACATGACCTAAAAAGCAGTTTCAGTGAAACGGTATTTACAAAGAATGATCTCCTGTGTCTAAACTGTGTCCATCACCAATACCTCAGAGTTTTTCCCTCTCCGCTGCGCTGCCAGTGAAAAAGGTCAGCTGACAGAAGAATAAATGTCAAGAATTTTTCTCAGGTGCTTGTTAAAAACATATATTTCTCCTGCATGCTCAACTGAAACCATAAATGCACGTCTATGCAAATCTACTTAAAATATAAAATGAAATCCCAGGATTTTTTATTTTGAATTTTCATGTGTGCTGATCCCGTAATTTTTTTGTTTTTTTTTTGTTTTTTTTGTTTTCAGACTTAATAGAGAAATCTACTCCTTTACTACAATTCTGGTCAGAAGTTTATATACAGCCAATATGGACATGGTTTTTATATTAATTATATTCCCCATGTATTTATGAAAAGTGTTTTTTCATGGTGGACTGATGACATACAACTTAGGGAAGTTTTGAAAATAAGGAGTTTTAAATTATTGTGCATTTCTCCAATCCACTGAAAACTAAAATCATATGCTAGCTCAAATATAAACATTTACCTTGATTTGTATTCAAATGTCCCCTTAAATTGTTTTTTTTTCCTCAGTTATGAAACATAGTAATATTTCATCATAGGTTATGTGTTGTTAATAGGATTGAGGACAGGGCTCTGTGGAGGTTAAACAGGAACCTATTTTTTTGTTAAACTTTAATTTAACCAGATAAAAACCCATTGAGATCAAGACCCCTGTCACAATCATGACCTAGACAAGACAAATAGGCAACAATAACAAAAATAAAAGTGGAATATATAACGTGAAAACAATTTGACAATAAATTACAACAAGCTGAGACAGTTTGATTATAATTTTTCTAAAATAGATTCAGTTTCAATGTGAGCTGATATTTTGTGTAATATACAGATTTTTTTTTTTTTCTAAACTTCTAAATTTAGTAGTCGCCTATTTAAGATTGTTCTTTGGTCTTCCATCACATTGTATATTTCCTGAAATAGAAAGTACATATAATAAGGCAATCTATTGTTTCAGCCGCCAGACTATAAATTGGTCTCAGTAGTTAAATACTGATTTATTAATTAGTTCTTTTAAGTAGGTGGCTGAAGTTAAGCAATGATGGCAAAACACTATTATCTTGCGCGTGTTTATGTATCAAAACATGAATGCTAATATTAGAACTGTAATAATGTTTTAGTTCAATATAAATAATGTGTGTAAACTTTGTGTTCCTGGATAATGATAAACAGAAAATCTGCCAATAATTTCTCCGCAGTTGTCCGTAGATAAAACAATAATAAGACCCACGACCAGAGATTATTTTGCTGAAAGCTGGTATCAAACAGCTCCCGAAGAAATAAGGGGAGGAAAAAAATCCTTTGTTGCTATATTAACATCGTCTTTCATGTTTTATCTCAGCCTCTCCGCGGTAATACTGACAGCAGAGTGTTTCCACGAGGAGGCTCAGGCATTTTACTCCTCCTCGCCATGCATCTCTACGCAGCACAGGGTCTGTAATCTTCTTTCCGTGAGAGCCGGGTTTTGAAAAGTGTGGATCACTTAGGTTGATGTTAGGGTAGAAAAATGCCCTCCAAATTGGCATGTAACAATGTCACCTCTGACTCGCCTGCCACGGCGCTTCAGTTTCCCACAACGCATCCGTCACCGTAAATGCAACAGAACGAGATTTTACAAGACCATTATCCATCACTCTTTAAGATCGTTGTTGTGATCATTTTCATTTTTAGCAAAGTACGCTGTAATCTGAAGGCCATTTGAAGCACAAGTACACAAAGCAGGGGAACAGATTTAATGAGGCAGAGGAGCGTTGCGCCTCTTCAAAAGAACAAATTACCAGTGCACATGCAGATCAGATGGTCATCTCACCTCCTCTCCTTGTTCTCTCATGCCTCTAAATAACAAACCGGGTTGGAGGCTACTTTGTTGTCAGATTAGTATGGGCTTGTGTTTCTAATGGCACAAAGTAAATATTCTCACCAGATGCTTTTTAAAATTTCCGTCCCCTGATTAAGAGCTGCCGTTTCTCTGCTGCAGCAGCTAATTGGAACACCGTGGTAACTAATCAAAGCTGGCTGACACCGCCTCACAGGCACAGCTACAGATGGGCCCGCTCCATGCTTCTTACAATGCCGGCACATCGCTTCATAGTAGGGCTATTTTTAGCTCAAGCGGAAACATAAAAGCCAGAATTTGGCTGACAGTCTTTTTGATTATATATGAATGTGACTCGGTGACGTTTGCTAATGAATGAGAAGATTGACTGAGAGAAATACTCTTGGTCGTTTTTTGAAGTTTTAAATATTGGGATCTAAAAAATGCAGGACGTGTAACTTATTCATGAGAACACTAACTAGTTGTGGGAGCGTTATGGCAGATGTATTGGAATTTTTATTTATTTAGCGTTTGGCCATGTAGCAGCTCCAAATCTTAGAGCTTCAACTCCAAACTGACATCAGCTTGAGTTTACTGTGAAGGCAAATCAACATTATTTTTTCATTACTTTGTTGAACACACACATACACTTAATGATCAGAAGTGTTGGTGGCTATTGAATCACCCAGGAGTAATATTTATGGGAAATCCTTTGATGTTCTGGGTTATACATTTTATTTTATTTTTTTAAGTTTTCATCTATTAAATTAGGTGCATCACTCTTATAAAAGACCTGCAATTCGTATATACCATTATTGGCTCGCAGTCCTTTTATCCTCATCATATTAACATTGTTCAATTATTACTCCTCAGTTAAATGTTTATAGATTATCTCACAATTAAAAACTGTGCATTCGCATTAAGAGATTTGTTTAATTGATTCTGCAACATTTATGCTCCAGTGAGTGGTACATTTCATTAGTATCACATTGCACTGGATTGTCTTTCTATAATGATGATGTGCAGCACAGTCTCTATCTCTCTCTCTGTAATAAAGAGAAATACTGTATTAGAAGATGGTTTTTTGGCTAATTGAACGTTGGGTGCTACATTACTTTCTGCCCATTAGAAGTGAATCTGTAGCAAATGTCAAAGAAATGGTACATGAATTGTAAGGTTGGATGTTCAGTTTATGACCGTTTCATATATCAAACCATAAACCTCTGGTTCGGCTGCTGCTGCTTCTTGTTTCTGAGAAAGAGAGAAGTGCCTACGGTGCATGTATGCTACATGCAAACCATCGACCATCTGGAGATGCGTTCAATATGTTTTCCCATTTGTAAAATAACACTAGTTAGAAATCAGTCGAAAAATCATTGAGGTATTACCCTGAGATGAGTTAGTTTTGAACAAGTAGAACTTCCCAAACGTTTTCCTTCCACTTCTTTTGTTCTGAGTCCAGTAACTCCAGGCTTGGTCTGGAGAACAAAAGGACTCAAGTATTTTCCTCACTTTGAGAACTAGACTGGCACGTGTAAAGCCAATCAAACTCAACATACGAGTCAAAGTGGCCAGTTTTACAGATCGTTTTTGGTTATTAATGACAAACGCTACTGGGGTTAGTTGTTCTAATGTTAATGGCATTTCCTGGTTTTGCTTAAAGGAATATGCAGAGTTCCAGTACAGAAGGAGACATCGGCAGCGAAGACGAGGGGACATGTCCAGTGTCCGAAGTAACACACCTGACCCTGATGATCTCAGCAACTCCACTTTAGGTACTGCTGTGTTACGACTTCGCCGCTCCCCGAGGTCTAGGGGATCAGGGGGTGTAACATAAAGATGTGTCCAGAGACAACAAGTGGAATGTAAAATGATTTATTAAAAAAAAAAAAAAAAAAAAAAGATGGTTTCACAAAACACAATACAATTTAACCCAATTCAAACAAAAGGACAAACAAATTCAAGAATGTTAAGTGCAAATTAAATTACAAAATGCCCAAACAAGTCAATTCAAAGTAAACTCAAAATAACCCAAAAAGGGGGGAGGGGGGGAAAGAAAAAGGAACACAAAGGGGAGCACCAAGCCTCCCAAACACGAGCTTCTGGCTGGAGAAAGCAAATTACGACAAAGTCAAACTGCTTTAGCAAACAAACAAACTGCTTAAACTTTACCTTTAATTTAATAACATAAAGTTACCTCATTTTTAAAGTGCAATCAGTAATACATTTATAACAAATTTATATCAGTAATGATTTCTTGGTTAATGTCAAGTTGTCATAATAAAGACATTTTGAATAATGTCAACTTTGTATTAAAAGTGTCATAATTTACCGAATGACGCTTTATGACAACAGTCATAAATATTCATGAAGGCTTATTCATGTTCATGACAGGTGTTATGTCATGTTTATGAAAGTGTCATGTCAGTCTTATTCACCCCCCTTCAAATAAAGTGTTACCCCTCTTCCTACTAGCCGCCCCCCTGGAGGAATGTTTTCAGGAGCCTTTTGTATGGTGCAGGTGAGCCTCATCAACGTCTGATTGGCTTGACAAGCCTCTGCTGGTCCAATGGAGTAGCTGCTCTCCTGCAGCCCTCAGGCAGCCAATCAGGAAGGTGTGCTCTCCCAGCTGAACCTGCATAACACAAAAGAACCTGCACAGCCTCAAGAGGCCAGGGGCCACAACATGCTGTTATTTTCTTGTCCCCTTTTTGTTATGTTTGTTAAAAATCAACAGAGAATCGTCCTCAGTTACTAGCAAGATTTCTTCTTGCTGCTCGCTTTAGTTAAAGAGTGTTGCTTTTTTTGCTGCCTGTTCCGACATTAGGAAAATTGTTTAAACTAATTGGACACCTACTATTGGTAATTGTATATGTATATTAAAAAACAGGACAAAGATACATAGTTGTGGAGTTTTTAAGTGCGTTCTGTTATGATTATTGTAAAGTTGTAGAAAAAATGAAAAACCATGATCCTTATTTTTGTACTTTTTTCCATATATAATGTGACATTTATTCAGATTTATCTAATTTATGAAAGAGAAAATATAACAAGACTAACTTAGCTAATCTGATATTAGAAGTGGGCACACCCTAAAGATAATATTTAGGGTGTGTCCTAAATATCAATAGTGTCATACATGTTGATTTTGTAATATTTTATCCCTACTTGTAAAAGTTCTTGAGAGGCACTACTCCGGAGACTCCATAGATTTCTTTAGTTACACTTACTTCTAAACCATATTTTATTTAGGTGAAGACATTTAACTATTTATTTCGGATGTCAACTTGGGCATGATGACACCTGAGAAGGTGGCCTAGCTTTACTTTCATCCTCTTGGACCAACTAATTTGAATTTGTACAAAGTTTGGACCCCAAAAAAGTTTCTACTCCAAGTTGGATTATAACTGCTTATAAGCATTTAGCACTTCTCTTTAAATATCCTGAACTTCAAAGCTAATTTCCAAAGTAATCCAGCATTTTTTTTCTTTATTTGAATAAACAAAATCAGGAAAATTACAACTGAACAACCCAGTATTTTAAATCAGTCTGTCTTGTTCATCACATTTATTTTGGCCGTGTGAGGTGATTTGCCATTTCAGAAGGCTGCAAAGACTCACTGCTGTGCCAAGGACCATTTATTCATTTCAGTTAAATGCTCATAATTAGTACATTTTCTGCTTAAACTCTGAAGGTCAGAAGTTTGCCAGGTGGTTGTAGCCATGTGCTCTAAACTGGGAATAAATGGAGCACATGTGATAATTGCTGATGAATTAAATTGCTTTTTAGGAGCAACTGTGGAGTCGGCTTAATGACTGTAATTTTGACTCGTGTGTGTGTGTGTGTGTTTTTATTTTATTTTTTGTCTTATTTATTTCCAACAAAAGAAGCCCAGGATGTTGGTGGTGGCCGCAGACAAGGTCATTTGATGGTGAGTGCACATTTAACAGGGTTCATATGAGCTCAAGGCTTTCAGCTGGGAAACCATTTCAGGTTAAATAATCAATATTTACAACAGGTGGCATGCTCTCTTTACTTTGGCATTAGCCTAATTAAAATAAAACAGTTTCTTTAAAAAAACAAAATGACTTAGGCTTGAGATATCTTCTTTTTTATCAGATTTCTGTAGTGACAAGAGAAACGCACCTTGAAGCATTGCTGGTACCTTTTGTGTTTTCTTTTATGGAAATTGAGTGCAAATATTTCAGAAAAACACAGTTAAAATCCTGCTTTTGTTGTATCTTTATTTAAAAACATCAAATTGTTCCTGTCCATTTTTAGCCAGTGGTATTAAGAGCCATTGTGGAAACAGCCACTTGTGGCTCTGGAGCTGCAGGTTGCAGACCCCTAAAACAGACGGTAGTTTTCAGCTTGCGTTGTTGATATCCTGCATCCTGTTTGCTCTCGCAGGGTCTGGACTCCCTGGATGAGGATGACCCAAACATTTTGCTGGCCATCCAGCTCTCTCTCCAAGACTCGAGGATGACGGAGATCGGCTCCGATCATGACGCCCTCGCCAACGAAGCCTCGCTTGGTGCAATCGGTACTTCCTTGCCTTCCAGACTTGAGCAGGCCCCTCCGGGCGTCGACGTCCTCCCCAGAGCTTCTCTCAGCAGCTCAGAACTGCTGGAGCGAGCCGATAACTTGGCCAGGCTGGGCAACATCAGCAGCCAGTACTCTCCCGGCCCCAGCTTCCCCTACGTGGAGCACTGTGACATCCGTCTCCGGGCGCATAAAGCAGCCGCTCTGTTGGGCAGCAACTCCTCCACTGGCCTTTTCTCTTCCTCCACGGACTCGACCACGTGCGGCAGCAATGACCCGTCGTCGTCGTCATCTGCCTTGACGACGAATGCTAATCTGCTTGGAAACATCATGGCTTGGTTTCACGACATGAATCCGCAGGGCATCACCCTGGTCCCACCGACCGACCCCAACGTGGCTCCGCTTCCCGAACGCGGAGAAGGATGCCTGCAAGGCAACGAGAAAGGCGGCTTCATCGGCTTCCTGGACGACAGAAAACCTCAGGAGGCGATGGCAGACGCGGGGTTTTGCACGCAGAGGTCAAGCAACACGGAGGAGAAGGAGAGCGCCGTCGCCGAGAGGCCCACTCAGTTGGATCTGGTGGGGTTGGACACCATGCAGCTACCTTACACTGCGGCGCCTGATGGAAGTGGAGAGCATGGCGAGCGCTCAAAGGGCTGCCATGTTGACAGTCCACGCTCTGACTATGCCTCTGACCAGCTGCCCAGCACCAGCTCCTCTGAGTGGGAGGACCACATGCACTTGGTTTGAGCCGCCTGGCTGGGATGATGAGGAGGTTCACTGAAGTCCAAAAACCACTACAGATTGGAAAGCAGCTTTGCTGGAGCTGCTGGTGTAGAATGTACTGCGAATGAAGAATTTGTCGGCTATTCATTGCTAGGGAGCGTGTAAAGAAGCATTTACAGTTTAAATCCAGTGCAGGAACTGTAGGCCAGCAGTGAAACCAGACCACTGATTATTTTATATTTTATTTTATTTTTTTAGTATCGTGAGCACACACTGCAATGAACGCACCAAGATGATCTGAAACAAATTAGAAATTCTGTCTTGATGAAAATTAAATGTTGCTGTTGTATCCATACATCAACATTTTCTATAGGATGCAGATAGAGAGATGGTTCTCATTGCGGTCCAAATAATCTTCTTTCTTCGTAGGTGCCAAACACTGACTTATAAAAGCACAGTTTGCAGTCACCAAGTGGATTTTTTTAAAGCAAATTGTGCCTGATTATCACAATCTCAGAAACCCTAAATGTGAACATCCTGAGCCATATTTTTGTTTGAGCTTGTGGTTCAGTGTTCTTTTCAAATCCCGCTCACTAAAAGCTTTCGCGTGCTGTGTGAAACTGAAGTAGTAGTGGATATTATGAGAAACTTCCAAGGAGAGAGAGAGAGAAAAAAAAAGGTTATTTGCTCAACTGAAAAAGCAGGTGGCCTGCTCAAAAATATTTCAGAATGGTCTTGACAATGGTTATTCATCTCAGAGGTTCAGCCTGAATAGGAAGCGTCCTCAGAGCTTAAAAATGAGAACCGCTGACAGATCCAGAGGAGGGAGAGAGGGGGCGAAGGGGAGCGCTCCGTTTGATTCGGCTCCCACGTTCTGAAGAAGAATGCTTTGAATTCGGTTGCAGCTCGTGTGAAAATAATGTTTGAGCTGAATGTTTAATGTGAAAGACGAGAGGTCTGATTCGTATGCACCAGGGGAGGTCAGCCAATAAGAAAACAAGGCAATCACTTCCAGTCTTATTTTCATTAATTATTACTGCTCAAGTCGTGCTTAGGTGGATTAATCTCTGCAGGGTAGTGCATAAAGAAATTCCCAACTGTGTGAATGGGGAATCCATATCTTTGAAGCACTTCTCTGTGAAGCTGAAATTACAGTGCCTTTATGTCAGTCTTCATGATTTTTTTTTTTTTTTTCCCCACCTTCTTCTGAGTGCTACTCACACAGACACAAAAACACCTGTTACCTTAAAGAAGTGTCTCTCTCCTGACATTTGGTGGGAAAACACAAACTCCAGTCTTTTTTTTTTCTTTTTTTTTTTTAATCCAGATCCTTGTAGCATGATGCTTTTTGTGCGTTCACACGATACACTGATGGACAAAACGGATTGTTAAATGGTTTGATAAAATGTGTAACTGTTAAAATATTGTGAGTATCCTGTGCCCTACGTTTATTTGATAAAAAAAAAGGCAAATCATTTGTATCATTGAAGTACGTTCACAGACTGTATGTGTATCATGTATCTGAGGAAAGTTGCAATATAACGTAGGTATTTCTGCTTTTATTAATAACTTGTGAATAACTCGACATGAAAAACAATCATGTTTGACGTTAAAGAACTCATTTTGTTTATGTACAGACTCATGTCTGATTCAAGTAAATTAGCTTTTATAAAAGTTGACACATAGAGGAACACTAATTCTAGCAGCAGATTTGTTTTTTTTTTTCTTTTGCTTTCTTAAGAGGCTCAAGTATTTAAACTGTCAGTGCCATACGGATGATGGAGCTATGATGGATTCAAGGGTCCTAACCACAGGAGACGTGGTTGTTGGTCAGATAGTATGCTGGGTTTGTAATGGTTGCAATTCAAGAAGGTTCTACTTTACTTCTGCTTCACCTCTGATCTCTAGGTGACTTATTTTAAGAAATGACTTTTTGTAACTCATTAGGATTTTCTATTGTAAAGCAACTAATTCTTAAAATGCTGTTTGCACTTTCATAGTCTATACTTGATACATTTCCTCTTTATATGAAAACTGTTTGATGTGTGATGCCAATAAACTGTGTTAAGTTTTACTGTGTTGGTAGCTGTCACTTTAAAAAAAAAAAAAAAAAAAATATTTGAATAGTCAAAGGAGTCCTGTTCGGATCAGTTGAGTTGCTTGAGGGCAAAAATATTTTAAAGCCAAAAAAAAAATTAATAGGGGAAGAAAAAAAACATCCTCAGCATTGTTAGTCAAATCAGACAAGTTACTTTAAATCATGATTTTTTTTCTACATAAAAACAGCCTTTTGAGTCCCACTCCACTACGACATGGTTGATGATCTGTCATCAAACCGTACAAGGTGACAGCCTATTGTTGCAAACTAAAAACAGATTGTTATCTTGACGGTGGGGAAAAAAAACACCCTTTCAAAAGGAGTGGTGTCAAATTGGCACCACTTGCTGGCAACAGAGAAGAAAAAAAAATAAGTGAGCACTCTTACTACCCCTAAAGTTTCTGTGCAGCAAAAGGCAGTGAGATTATTAAAGGTGAAAACAAACCACTCGTCGTGCCCAGAATATGAAAATACTATAAAGTTGGTTTCAAGGGAAGGAACAACCCAAGGATGAGGCTAGAAAATGCAACACAGCCTCTGCCACAGAGAGGACAGACTGCTTTCATGGAGCCGAGATCAATAAAGTGGCAACGGATGTTTGTATAAACATTTTCAATTGTGCAAAACCCACTATAAAAGTGAGGTATACTTTTTACAGTACAAAATGTTACAAATTCACCATATTAAATAGATCAGATGCTTACCTGAAATGTTCCTCTTGTGTGATTGCACACCGTTTGGCTGGTGAAGTGACTTTTTATTTTTTATTTTTTTATCAGTGTCTGAGCCAACTGAGTGAGTAAAGTGTTTGATTGTATATCAGGGTTTGTTTGTTTTTTCCACTTCTCCCATGTGTGCATATTGTCATCACTGCTCTGAAACTGAAAATGCCTTTTGCTTGCTTTTTTCTTTTCTTTTTGGTATTTTGATCTTTGAACACGGATATAAAAAAAAAACCCCTGCAAGCTACAAGCCTGATACAACTAAAAAAAAATAAAAGAAAGCACATTGAATGAAATGTATTTTTATTTTTAAGTGTTTACATCCATTTATAAACTAACTAGGATATCAACAAGTATTCCAAGCGTCAATAAAGATGTATGTAAAGCAGATGTATGAATTTAAATGCGACATGTCTACCTTTCGTCATGTAATATGAGATATATAAAATGATTTTATGTGTAAGAAGAAAATAAATTCAGCGGCAGAAGTTAAGGATTTGCAGCAGGAAGAAGAACAAGGTAACGATGTCCAGATAGAGGTTGAGAGCAGCAAACACGTACTCCTCGGGAGAGATTTCATACTTCCTGTGTTTCCCGCCGAGAATTAGCTGAGTGTCAAGCACCAAGTACTGCAGAGAGACAGGCAGACAAAGACTCTGTAACATCCCTGACATCTGAAGACGGTGTACTTATATGATGAAAGAGAAAAGAGCATTTATTAGCTAGGCTCTGAAAACAAACACAGACTCTTTTTTTTTTCTAGGGATCAGACTGTGCATATAAACAACAGACATAAATTATTGTGCAGCTTGAGTGTTGCAGTCGAAAATAAGTTGTGACTTGCTGCTGACAGCGTGCTCGGCTCTGCATGCAGGTTGCAGTCTGTTCCGCTAGCTGACAGGATGGGTCACAACATTTGCTGTTAATGCCAAAAGCACTTAGGAAATGTGGCTGCACAAATGAAGCCCACTGCTGTTCTGAAGTGCATCATTGAAATGAAAGAGCACAGGGGGCATCTGAGTTACAGTAAGGACAGGGACTAACACTGGTGGCAGCCCACGTGGCCTGTGGGATCAAAGCTCAGCCACAGGCATTCGCTTGACTTTAGAGCTTCTTTAATGTCAGTTTCTGTCTTTTTCAAAACTTGTTGTCATTTGACTTTTGATGCAGATTGCATCAAAAGTCAGACAACCTCTTACTGTCATGGGGGTTTGAATGTACTTACCAAAGAAAACAGCACAGTTCCCAGGTAGGCGTAAAAGATGTAGAGAAACTGCAGAAAGAAACAAGAGGTAAAATAAGCAAGGATGTAACAGCACATCGTTCTAATTATTTATTCCACAAATGCGTGAAAACACATTTAAAAATCAGATTACAAGCAGAAAAAAGGAATGCCTTTTCTATAAAAATGCGGTGTGAATGCTGTCAGCTGAATGTTTTTGGTGAAAATTTGAAGGGGCGTTGGAAGGAGGGTTGGAATTTAACCCTAACTCCTACTAAACCCTCCATCCAACCATTTTCCCAACCCTAATTCCAAGCCATGGTTAATAAGGTTCTATAAAAATCAGTCCAGAGAATTTTGCAGCCTCACATATGTTTTCTTTCAGTGCTTTGTGCTCTTGTCATTGACAGGAATTTAAATAGCATTAATCTATTTCTGTGTTAGTTTTGTCTTTTTTTTCTGTTCTGTTTGTCTTGTTTTTGCAGCATTGTGTGTTTTTGACTTGTGGATGAAAAAGTTAAAAATGACCAAAATAAATATCTAAAAAAAAGTATCTCCTATCCATCTACCACTAAAACTTACCTGTCTGTCCCTGCTGAAGGTAAAGCATCCCCACAGCATGATGCAGCCACCATCATTATGTGGCTGGGGTGCTCAGGTTCAAGTGTTTTTTTTTGTTTGTTTGTTTTTTTTGTTTTTTTTTTTTTTGGCTTCTGTGACTTCTGAAGTGACTTCAACTTCTACTTTTTATGTTTTCATCATGCATCACACTTTCACTTTGCTAAAATGTGTTGAACAGATACACTTGACTTGCCTTACTTTGGTCTATCACATAAACACTAACACTTTTGCAAGGCACTGCATGGAAAGTGAAGTTAGAGCTACTGTAAAATCATTTTCGCTTCCATTTTATCAAATTAAAACACTCAACACTGTTGACATTTGCTAATTCTCTAAACATTATGACCGGCAAATGCCAAGAACAGGGTTTTATAGTGATATGCATCATTCAGAAGAGATGTGTCGCCCCTTGGAGGTTTAGGAAGGCGTGTGTCCATCTTTATAGTCCACTCAGCTTATAGGTCACTGGCAATACAGATAATAAAACCTGGCAGACTCTGAAACATTTCTACTGCCCTGTCTGGTCTTACCACATACATGCAGAAGCGCAACATTGTTACCTGTGAGCGGATGATGGCACACATCAGTAAGAAGGAAAATAAGGACCAGGCAAACATCCACAAGCATCCGGATCCAGCGGTAAAGTCCCACTGATGACAGAAAAACAGGAGAGGGAAAGAAAGAAAAAAATATGATGATACAGTGCTGAAAACAAAAAAATAATAAAAAAATGAATAAATAAAAGCTGCACGGGAATTCTTTGATTTATCCTGAAGGCCGTCTGTGGCATTGCGGCGAAGCTGAGGGGCTCTGCAGAGAGTGAAATGACAAAGACATACTGGAGTTCCACATAAAAAGAACATCCTAATAGCTCTGGATATAATTGTCCAGAGCAATTAATCAACAAGCTGCAGCCGAGGCACCGAGGAGGAGAGTGGATACGACCTGCTGGCCCGCCTGGCCTTTTCAAACGGACAGTAAAAAGATGGCCCCTGCAGGAAGAACACTGATCACCTGAGGAGCGACGAGCTGAACATGCGAGGTGGCCTGCTTGACATTTACTTCGCAGTGACAGAGATCAAAAGGCTCTGTGCGTAGTGTGAACTGCAGCAAAAGAGATGTTGGGAGCTGCGAGATGAACGACCAGTTGTAAAACTTAACTGGTTGTGACTGTGGCCACTCACTCTGCCAATACGGTCTGAGCGGGCTGGTCACTTTTTACAACACAGAGTTTGTGTTCATTTAGATCTACGTTGTTTTATTCTTAATAAGAACCAGGAACATTAGTAACATACTATAACCAGAACCCTCCTTCAGTTAAAAAAATAATAATAATCATAATCATAAAAACAGCAGCTTTTACTAAATATTCAGTCTACAATTGGGAAAATATATAACATTTCCCCTAATGATATAAAGAGTGGAGCAGCATAAATACCACATAATAGTCATTTTGCCTCTATGTCATGCAAACACAGTGTACTTAATTTGAAACACATATCAGCTTTATAGTGAATTATATTCATAAAAATGCCTAACACTTTTTTCCCCCCACATAATATTATTTTATGAACACTTTATACTACAACCTTTATCCATTGATGTTTGTCTTTTTGTGGAATTTCTATATACATAAGATATGAATGACTCCTGATCAGAAAGTACCTGAGTGATCTCCTTTCTATCAGAGTGACAAAATTAGATTACATAAAATTACTTTAAATTATCAGTGGTCAAAGTGGGTAGAAAATAACCAGTCAAAATAAAAGGTGTTGAGGCATTTTGAACAAAACGGCAAAAAGAAATTAAATGACCTGCAACCCCACTAATTTGCTTGGACTTTTTTTCAAAATTACATTTTCTTATGTAACTGCTCAAAACCTTTAGCTGACAAAGAATAACAGAAGCCCCATTCAACTCCACCATAAACTCATTAGCTCAATTAGCTCATTTTGGAAAATATGTAGAATCTACTTTGTGTGTTTTTTTTTTTTTTGTTTTTTTTTTTGAGGCATCTTGTATCTCACTGCAGAAATGTGTCTAAACAAACTTCTTTCTTTCTAAAGTAAAGCAAAATCTGCTTCCAGGAATTCTTCAAAAACTGAATAGTTGTGTTTTTCAGTTCACACACAACACCTTAATAATTTGAAGCGACATTCCTCAACCTAACCAAAATGAAGTTATAGCAACCGGTTTGTCTCTATTAGGCAATGATTTTTAGTCACAACTTTTACAGAACATATACGTATGAAAATAGGCTCATATAAATGTACACAAAATTTCCATCCCCATCATAATGTAACAAAGAAAACGCACACATACACGTAAACATATATTGCAGCGGTCTTCAGGCAAATTCTTACTGTTTACCTGAAAGTTACTAAAGTAGCAAAATCTCTTCTCAAGTTCTTTTTGAGTAACTGAATTTATTAGCAGATTCATTATAAATGCTGCGACTTTGCAAGTAATCACAGCTTTACAGTGAAAAGCCTCAGCTCCAGATGAGTTCAGGCGAGCCGGTGGACTGGAGGAATTATTTGACTGACACAAACACTGATTTCAGCAATAATCATAGTTTTGCCTGGACAGCAATCCCATCGAAGCATTAAACCTCAGCCCGCGCTGCATCAGGAAACCTGGCCAACATGTTCCAGATGACTGCAACGGAAACACATCTCGCAGCGCGGATATTTATGAGAGGCCGATAAGCCGCTGCAGTTTATAAAATGTCACTTTTGGCTGTGCTGCAAAACACAAGCCCAGAGTGTGTGACTGATCTTACCTTTGACTGCATGGCAAATAGACTCATGCCAAAGGAAACAAGAGCCGTCGCGCCCACAGCCCACATAACTGCCTCGGCTTCGAAGTACCTGCAGACAGAAATATCAAAACAGACGCTGCATGTTGGAAATGCATCTTGAAAGTAACCAGTTGTCGGTAAGTGGTTGGCATTTTGCAGACTCCTATATATATATATATATATATATATATATATTTATTTATTTATTTATTTATTTTTATCTGGGATTTCTGTGCAAGACTGATAAAGACTAGTATGTAATTGCAAAAATGATTTATTGATATAATTATTTTTTTGCTACTAAATCAGATCTGGAAATTGAGTCAGAAATTTGGATCCGGCCTCTGGACTCAATGCTTTGTGGAGCCTCTTATCGCAGCAATTACAGCTGAACATCTGTTATGTTACGTATCTCCTGGTTTTAAGAAGTATAGACTAATTTCTTTTTGGGCCATTCCTCTTGGCAAAAAAGCTCAAGAAGATGGAGACGGTTTGTCAACAGGAAGTTATGCAATAAAAGGAGATGTACAGTATTAGTGTTTTGCCACAGCTACCGTTTTGCATTAAAACTAAAAGATTTAATGAGTGCCTTCTTAGTTAAGGATCCTGGATATAGTCTTGATAGATTTGCAGTTGGATTTCCATTGTGGAATGGTAGATTGAAGAGTGACCTGAGGGTTGTTGTTTTAAAACCTAACCTCACTTTAAACTCTACAACTTTTCTCTCTGACCTGTCTGCTGCGTTCCTGGATCTGTTGTTGTTGTTTTTAATGCAAACCTCTGATGCCTTTAAACAACACCTGTATTTACACTAAGATTCAATTACTCACAATAATTCAATATGTGTATTTTTTTTTAATTGAAGATATCAAACTAAAGGGGTCTGAATTCAAATGCATGCCACACTTTTCAGAATGTTTAAATCATGCATTATTTTCACTCCACAGTTATGTGATGCTTTGTGCTGGTCTACAACTTAAAGTGCCAATAAAACGCATTAAAGTTTGTGGCTACAATGTGACAAAATGTGGAAAGGTGTGTGCGTGCATGTGTGTGTGTATATATATATATATCTTTTCTTTTTTTTGCAAGGCACTATATCTAAAATTTGAGCAAAATTCTATAAATATGATAATTTCCCACGGTTAGAGATAGTCACTCCTGGGCTGATATGTCTAACAGATTGACTTGTAGGTAAAGAAGAGATACCAGACTGACAGAACAAAATAAATAAATAAATAAAACGTAAATACACAGATTCTTCTGGTGCAGAGAAATTGGTTTGAGTCTGTCATGCCTCTGGTCTATCCCCAGCCAAAAGCCCAGAAAATGTGATCCCGTGTCCTTCGTTTTTTGGATGGCCACCAAAAATGATATCTAGTTAGATGCCTTCAAGCTTGGCATCGAGCACGTCGCCAGATTTGGATCAAATCGGATTATTATTGTGCAAATGAGTTGGTATCAGGTGTAGGTTATCCTCTGAAACAAACACTCACGCTGCCACAGATCCAAGCATCAGGCCCTCTGCGACAGTCTGAGGGAGAAAAAGAAGAGACAAACAGACAGAAAAAAAAAACATTAAACAGAGCAAGGATGGTGGTGTTTTAATTTGCTGCCTGGATGGCGTTGCTTCTACTCACAAACAAGCCCAGAGCTATGAAATTGAGGGGCACTTGGCGACGGATGTTACCGCAGCAGGACAAAACCAGAATAAGGACCAGCACCCCTGACCTATTAAACGGTGAGCATAGCGTGCATCATAAATATCAAATAAGCAGCCTATAAAAAGACAAATGCAGTGAAACTACCGCTGTGTAGCTGGTGGTTCTTTGGGTTGCTACGTGGAAGGTTTTAATGAACCAAAAATGGCATGGATCAAGGATCAAGACGGTTACGACTGAGTGTTTCGGCTTACATCATGGTGTAGGAGAACCAGTAGTTCTCACGAACCCAAGTCTTCAGTGTGTCCCTGTTATTTGATAAGAAAAAAAGAGCACTGTTTAATAGAGGCATGATTTATTTAATAGAAGCAGAGGAATGAATGCCTGCTGCAAGCGTAACACATGACAGAGCATTTCACATGCAGGGGATGAACATCATGTCAGAAAATGCTGTTGCAGCCTTTCGCTGCGAAACACACATGCTTCGATCTAATGCAAACTAATACATAATCTCTAAAGTACCATTAGGTGCCTCTGTAAGAGACAAGCTATGATGTTGCTCATATATCCGTGGTGGCAACTCCACTTTAGTTACTTTTGCGGGAGGCGTGCTTTCACACGCGGCGGCTATTTTTATGGAGGGACTTCTGACACGGATTCAAAGAACTCCTTAGAGAGTTTGTGTCTCACCAGTAAAGAAAGGCGCAGATGATCCCAACAGTAGGCAGCAGCTGAATCATCAAGGTCAGGTAGACTTTCCGTATAAAACCTGTTAAACGGAAGAAGAGAAAATGGAAAGCAAAGCAAAGCAGAGAGAAATGAAAAAGACACAACAACATGGAGAGTTTGTCAAAGGAATACAGGCTGGAGGACGATGTTGTTTATGCTGTGCACTATTAAAAATGAAATTTCTTTTCAGTGACTCTGCATTGAATCCTAAAGAACAAAAACACTAACGATGGAGTAAGTATATTTTATCCAGTTTTACCCTCGATCATGAGTAAAACATTCACCCCTCTGACCTTCTCTTTCTTTAGCTCTCACCTCGCCGTATCGCGGCGACACTGAAACCATTCTCCTCTGATTCGCTGCTGTATGGAGGCGGAGCCTCTATATGCATTTGGTCACCTCCAAATGCAGGTGGGTCGTCCGGATGGATCGTGTTATTGTAGGACTCAGGAGGAGAGATGACTGCAATGTTCCCCTTGCCAAACTACAACATCGGTCAGAAGTTTACAGAAATTCATCATCAGCATGTAGTAGGTCCAAAGTTTATGCACTGACATTATATTGCAGAAATATGAGATTAGTAAATAATTTAGACTAATGCCTTGTTGAAGTATCTTTTGATTTGGTTTCTGCGTTCAGTGTAGTTGATTTGATACCTGATATCAACCTGATGAGTCTTCATTCTCAGGTTAAAAGTACTTTTTGAAAACACCAACTCCTTAAGCAGGTATTAAACATTCTTCTTAATAAGCCCAAAATTCTGTTTTTAACATATTTTTTAATTGGTCTAATGTCACATCTTGATTTTAAATGTCATGTTTTCATTAGCTGTTAAAAGAAAACCATCTTGATTAAGAAATATATAAGTTAAAGCATCAGTCTTTGTTTATTTAATCTTTATTTAATCAAAAAATATTCATATTTATTGAACGGGTCTGTATAATCAATTATAGGGAGCCTGATTATCAGTAAATAAAGCTATCTAACATAAAAATTGGCATCCTTCAACTAAAGCCATAATTAGCAAAAAGATTCCAGACCTAATTTAATCAAAACTGAAGGAAAACAAGATTGCAACTGGACAGGGAGGCTTTCCACGCCAAGTTTATTTATAAAAGACATTTCAGCAACAGCAACACTGACCCCTGAGGTCAGCATGAAGACTTTACAACTGGGATAAAGTGTTCCTTTATGTTTTATGATATCACGATGACGATGTGTTTTCCTGAGATTAGTTATGTCATTAACCTTTAATTAAATTACAGTTTACAGCGTACATTACAAGACTACCTCTAGTACTCAGATGTCACTAACCTGGTATGCCGTTCCTGTGTAGAAGTTTTGTTCATAGTTCGAAGGGCTGTAGGGAGGAGGGCGAAGTTCGTGTCCTTCATTGGTGCTGCTATTTGTCTGCTCCATTTCACTAATTTCAATAACTCGACTTAGTTCATCAACAAAACTGACGAGAGACAGAAGACACGACACACGTGAAGGTAAGTTAGGGTGATAGCTCAGGCCCAGAGTCATCCTGTTAGACAGTATCTGGGGTTTCATCAGTGATGCTAAACTGGCAAATGGGGCGCTGTCAGCGGGGAACAAATAAATGGGTAATTACAAAATGATGCATAGCACAAACACACAGTGAGCCATGACTAACATCCATAATTACGGCCCTAACCCCCCCGCCCCCCACAAATTAATAGAGCTGTATGTATTTTTAATGGTCAGAGAGAACGCGGTTAATTGATCTCAGAGGAAATCCAGCTGTCGTCATGAAAGACAAGGCACACAGAACAGGACGAATAATAATAATAATAATAATAATAATAATAATAATAATAATAATAATATTAATAAAAATATTGAGGATTCGGTTTTATAAGTAGCAAGGAAATAAAAGACGTTTCCCATTTAAGTTGGTATTTCTGAGCAAGTCATAATTAGCCCAACAATGATCAGTGCCATGCAATATAAAGTGGTGGTAAAGCAATGAGGAGGAGCAGTAAAAGAGCACACTGAATAGCTTCAAACAGTAGCACTTTAAAATAAACCCACCAGTGATACAATAACAGTAATTCTCTGGGTTTTTTGGGGGGGTTCGGGGGGGGGGTTGTAAATTAATTCATCTTTTGCTCTGATAAGGAATCATCTAAGAGATAAAAATCCTCTTCTGTTCTCTCTGTAAGATTGGTCAGGCAGCCAACACAATGAAGTGAAACTACATGATAATGAAGTGAAACTACATGATAAGACGTGAAGTGGACTCGGTTTCTGTTTGTACTCTAAAAGCGCCATTATTTCCAGATTGAGAAAGAAAGCTTTTTTTTTCTTTTTTTTTTAATATTTAAAGAACCCTTTGTGTATTTAAAAAAAAATCTTCTAAGAGCTATTTAATTAATGCTATTTGTTGAAAGAAGCTGATTACAACCGTAGTTCATAATGCATTGCCTTACCTCCGCTGTGAAAGCCAGGAAGTAGTTGTACCTCTTTAGGGCAAAGTCTACCTGATATCAGCTGGTTCCCACAGAGACAGGACTTTAGCTCCTGAGGGAGAGGATGGGGTGCAACATTAGGCTTAATGGGATATTCCGATGAAGAAAGCCGACACTGAGTCAGAATAAATTAAGCTTTTCTTTTTTTCTGTCTCTCTCTTCCTCACCAACATTGATTTACTATGACCTTTAGAATAATTTCATACGCATTGCTTATGCTTGCTTTAATAAAGGTATGTTTCTGGAGTCAATGTCCTTTCATGAGGACCTGCTTGCTGTTCGAGATAAGTCTGTGGCTTTCCCCGCTTTGTAGAACAAACAGAAAGAAAGAGAGAGGAGAAAAAAAACAACAACAATGGCCGTCTTTGAAATCGTTTGAGTCATCTGGCCTTCATGGTTCACCTTGGTTGCCTATTGATAGTGCTCTGCCTGTGGAAGTCATCCACCAACGAAGAAGCGGATGAGTGATGCATGCCGTCAGGCCGTCCTGTTTTAAAAGATTACAGCTGTCGGGTCTCACCAGGAGAGAAGAATGGCTAAAAGAACGACTTGAAGCCAAAATACATGAAATAATATAGGTCAATACAGTCTTAGTGCTTCTTCACGGAGAACTGCCGCTAAAAGGGTTATACAGAGGAATCCATCCATGAATCAGAGAGCAGCCAAGCGCGAACCTACTTTCTATAAAACTATTACAATTGATTACACACAGTTTGAAAGATATATAGAAACAAATGTTCAAGGAAATTGAACTAAATCCCATTCCAGCAAATCTGCAGCCTGAGCAGCTCGGGTTTTGATTTCACATTAAGAGGTGTGACAGACACGTGGTGATTACACAGAAACCTCTCAACAATTAAACTGACGATTTTCAGAGCATCCAGGTGCCAACACACAAGAGTCGGCGCACGGAGCAAAAACACGACGATTCCTTCCAGGTAATTTCACCCACACTGCCATGTTTATGTATTTATACATTGAGTGAACACTTGGGGGCACTAGTCTCCTGTGCTTCCTCTGCTAATTGCAGTCATTTGATTGTGGCTCTGGCCCTTCACATGCTGTCACCTCCCCACCCACCCACCCAACAACTCCAAATCCTCCAGAGAGCTCTCTTAAAACCCGGCTGCCTCTTCATCTTATCTGCCGGATCAAATCCTTCATTTCAGTCGCCAACGTTTGATATCCATGCTCTTTTCAAAGCGTTGCCAAAGTAAAAAAAAAATAAATAAATAAATAACAACAAAAAATGCAAGAACAAATCACATCGTTTCCTGTGTTCACAAAGCGATAAATAAATAAATAAGATAAAGCGAGAACAAAATGAAGACGTCATATTTTGAAGGCACAGACAGCGTTTTGCGCCACAAACACAGGCTCTCGGCTCTGTTCGCGGCTGATTGGTGTGTCAGTCAACACAGGCCGGATTTACAATGCCTGCTCAAATCTGATGAGCCCGGCGCCCACCTCTGCATCAGATCCCGGCTGGATTTGAATGGGCGGCACAACAAACACAGTCACATTTGAGCAGGCAGTTGAAATCAAGCCTGTGTTGACATACCAATCAGTGGGAGGCCAAATTTGAAATGGATCAGATTGCCTCGGAGCTGTCCAAACCAGAGGAATGCGGGGCTCATGAAGCATAATGTGTGATGAACAGAGAGATAGGGTCTGTCCAGCCATCCATCAGACTACCTGCCTACATGTAAAGGATAGGAAAGAAGCAAAAAAAAAGAGAGAGAGAGAGAAAAGATGGAGAAAGGATGATAGAAATACTGAGGTGTATCTCTAACGTGTGGTGACAGTCCTGTTTTGTCTGCTGTGATGCTCTTTGGGGCTTCTGGGACTGGCAGAGGGGAGTGTTACGGTGTCAGCGGAGAAGAAGAGATGTAGCCATCAAGAGAGCCTCTCTTTCTGCTTTTGCATGCCGCTGTGAATAACTGCTTCCTGGCCGACCTGCCCACAGAAGGATTTATTTGAAGAATTGAAAGTGTGGTTTGTGTGACCTCAGAGAGCCCTAGCGCCGGTCTGCAGATCTGTGCTACAAGACGCCCCCTTCATTTCTAATTTACTGCCCTTCTGGAGCTGCTAATGTAGAATTTCTCCAGGATGTATTGCTGATGAGAAAGTTCAGCGAAGGCTCATGCTGTACAGTGTGTTGCTGTAAATTACGTGGCATTCTGCGCTAATTTACGCCCGACGTCCTCGGCTCTAGTGTGAGGAAAGGTTTTTTTTTTTTTTTTGTTTAGTTCAAGCAAAAATTAAAATCACTCTCAATGGAAGCCAAATCAGCACAGCACTGGTTTTTAGAAGCAGAGAAGTTACATTATCTTGATTAAGCAAATGAGTACAACACAAAAGACACAGCTGTAGTTTAACAAATGGACATGATTAAGTAAATAAATGCTTCTTATAATTTTTTTTTTTAAACTGAATATATTACATTGTGGCAATGATCACTGAACTTAAGAATTTATCCTCATCGGATACAACGTTGACATTAGCTTGGTTTAAAGAGAATATATAATTCTAGACAAACTTCATTTAAACATATTTCACAAAATGCTTATTGGATTATCATTAACTGTGCCATCATATGTAGACAGCATTAGGTGAAAGTTGTTATTTTTCATCCCTCACATCAATTTGTCTTTGAAAATAACTTAAGAAGGAAATCAGAGTTTTTTTACAAAAGTATTCCAACCACATTAAGGAACGACGTGAAAATAGGCAGAGCTTTTGTACGAGCACTCATTTCAGCCACAGGGCAGCTCAGTGGCTTTTCTCAAATGCCATTGTAAAAATCATCAAGCAAATGCACAAATATGTTGATCAGTGTTCCAGCTAATACTAATCAGAGGCAACTCTACGCATGTGGGTTTTAAAAGCCCTGATTTAAAAGAATTTTTTAAAGTTTTGTCCTTTTTCTGCACGTTTGTTCCAGATTTGTGGTGCACAGAAGCTGAATGCTGTTTTTCCATGTTTGGCCAGGCACCCCGAATGGTTGCCACGGGAGATTCAAGGACTTTTCAAACATCCTTTGAAGGATTCAAAGCAACACATCAGTTTTTTTTGTTTGTGTGGTTTTTTTTTGGGAATAGCATCATATCACGATATAAAGCTCAAAAAAGTCAAATTAAACAGTATCCCAAACAACTCCAATAAACCAACCTGTTCAAAAGAAATGTGGCAAGCCCCTCTTTCTGCTACCCCCAAAATAACTAAAAAGTAAGCAATTATTTCATTTTTTCCAAACAGAAACCAGGCAACCTATTCTCCCAGCACTCAGCAGCAAGCAAGGGAAACGTTCTCCACTGCACATGCATGCAAATAATAGCAAAATTGTTCAGGGCACAACTAACAGATGAGATACAGTATATTTATTTAATGGTTCTTAAGTGCTCTCCCACACCCCTTTTTAAGGCCGCCCTGGGCAACTGCCCATATAGCTCATAGCAAAATTCACAACCGAGTCGGGGTGATTTGCAGTGTTAATTATTTTCTGCTATGTTTCTGCATGCATAAAGCCAAAAAGCTACATCTCCATCATCTGGTCAGAGCAATTTCTTTCACATCTTTGATGTATCCGTCATGGCTTGTAACAACATTAAAAGAACTGATGTCTTTCTTTCAACATGGCCTTTCTTTCTGCCCCGATGCTGTTTGTTCAGTAATGTTGTCTAACAAACCTCCAAAGTCTTCAGAGAACAACTGTAATTTACACAGAAGTGGTTTTCTAATTAAGTCAAGTGAAGTTTATTTGCATAACGCAAATTAGTAAATAAGTAAATCATTATTTATTAGGGGACTTCTGTCAGCACCTGTTTCTTCTGTACTGTATTCATGATTGTCAGAGTAAAGGAGGCTGAGTGCAGCCTCACATCGTATCACTGTTATGCTCTACATTGTGTTAGTCTTTTACCTTAAAACTTGAACAAATATACTTAGAGTTGCTGATGTAATGTGGCAAAATATGAAAAAGTTTATACTTTTGCATGCATTTTGTCAACACTGACATCTGATCAGTTTGAAACCGATAAACTCACAGAAAACACTTTTAAGGAATCTCATTACAGTCTCACCCCTAACAATGTAAATGTAGATAGATTCAAACTGAGAGCGCTTCTGACAACAAACTTTTCTGAATCACGGCAACTTGGCTGACCTTCAACTTCAGTACATGAAAGGAAATACTGGTCCAATACATTTTTGGCACAACCCTTCAGTATTTAAACAGTGAAAAATTAAGGCTGTTATAGATTTGCTCAAGGGGTCTCATGCACTATGTAATCAAAAACTGCCAGAAGGTGGGAAAAAAAAAACTTAAATAATGAGGATTATACGAGAAAATGTGTGTGCGAGTCAAAAGCTCAGCGTTTCCACAAACAGAGGGGCTGTCTGCAAGTTACAAATATGAACATATACTGTAAATAACACAGAGTTAATTACAGTGGGACTATAAAAAGAGATGAGAAGAAAAGCTGACGCTGTCCAGGTAAACCAAAATGCTAAAGCAAATACACAACAGCCACACAGAAACAGAAGCTGCTGCAAAAGGAAACCGAGAACATTTGACTTAACCTGTTATTTGCTTCATATCTGTTCAATTCTTCCAAACAGCTGGTCCTTGAAAATTTAACTCCCACTCACAGAGTATGCCCATCCATTAAAGTGACAGGATTCAGTGCCGACTTGTGTCGCGATGAAACCGAGGCTCTGTCTGACATATTAAGACTGCTGTCACAAGCTGTAGCAGAAAAAGCATCATGACGCTCATTTAAACATCACATTAATATGTTTCGTTGCCGCCAGAGTGATGGAAGGCACGGACGGGCCTTTATGTTCTAGTGGATGCTGTCAGCTCTAATAATCCACTCTGGGTTTGGACTCGGGCTGCTACAGATTCGAGAAATTGCCATTTCCAGCAGTTAAGTTTCTTGGAAGGTTTAAAGTTTGATCTTGAATATTCTGAGAAGGCAGGAAGAAGTTTTCAGAAAGTTTGAAAAGGGGGGTGGGGGTTTGTTTTCAAAGACGAGCTGACAGAGCTTGGGC